CCACAGGGTATAAATAAATAAATATATCATAATAATAGATCAAAGGACGTGTCTGTTGTATTATAGCCACACAGGGGATTTAGTATTTATACTTAAGTATATTATACTATATATATTATATTATTATATAATGTCTCTCCCTTAATATTTACTTCTACCCTTTGGATATTCACATGTTGTAGGTTTTTGGGGTAATTTTGATTGAGAACTTTCCAAATACACGTCCTGCTGCTCAAGAGCAGGACATGCAGAAAAGATCATGGAGTCCTCATGGGGAGGAAGGGGAGCATGAGCCAGGAATGTCATGGGGCAGCAAAAAAAGGCCAATGGGATTTGTGCCCGCATCCAGAGGAGCCTCTTGCCTAGATCCAGGGAAGTCCTGCTCCCCATGGTTGTGTGACCAAGTAGGCCTCCTTTGCCATGATTCACTGACTGTGTTGTCAACGGAAGACTTTCATGGCTGGAATCACTGGGATGCTGTGAGTTTCCCAAGCTGTATGGCCATGTTTCAGAAGCATTCTCTCCTGAAGTTTAGCCCACATCTGTGGCAGGCATTCTCACAGGTTGTGCGGTCTGTTGGAAACTAGACAAGTGGGGTTTATATATATATCTCTGTGGAATGATGTCCACGGTGGGAGAAAGAAAGAACTCTTGTCTGTTGGAGGCAGCTCAAACCAATGGGATTCCCCCCTGCATCAATAGGAGCCTAGTGCCTAGATCCAGGGAAGTCCTGCTCCCCATGCCCTATTCTGCCTTGGTTAGACCACGTTCCCTGGAATCAATCTGTGTCCAGTTCTGGGCACCACGATTGAAAGGAGATGTTGACAAGCTGGAATGTATCAAGGTTCTGGAGAACAAGCCCAGTGAGGAGTGGCTGAAAGAGCTGGGCATGCTGAGCCTGCAAAAGAGAAGGGACATGTTGAGGGCCATATATAAATATGTGAGGGTAAGTCATAGGGAGGAGGGAGGAGGCTTCCATTGCTGCCCTGGAGAGAGAGTAGGACGCAATGGAGCTATGGCTTCAAACAACAGGAAAGGAAGGAGATTCCACCTGAACCTGAGGAAGAACTTCCTAACGGTGAGAGAGTGAGATGTGTTCAGCAGTGGAACTCTCTGCCCCCTTCTTGGGAGGCTTTAAAACAGAGCCTTGGTGGCCATCTGTCAGGGTGCTTTGAATGTGATTTTCTTGCTTCTTCCAAGAATGGGGTTGGACTGGATGATGGCCCACCAGGTCTCTTCCAACTCTATGGTTCTATGATCAGTTGTGTCTCCAGCATACACACATATGTTGTTTTATTTCTGGCTTACGTTGATACTGAAATAGAGTTTGCAATGTATACAGCCAGATAAAGTGAGAAAATATAGTCAGGATGTGCCAGATGCATTTATGTGTCCTAAGCATGCACTATATAATGTACTGGTATATCTACCTGAAGGAAGAGATTATTGATGTAGTAGTAGTACAAATGATAATAATAATAACAATAATAGTAATTGCATTTCTTACTCACCTCTCCTTGTGGGTCACATCACAGTCAAAATACACAAACATTGCACACATTTTAAAATGTAGCTTAATATATATATATATTAAAATGTATTTCTATAAAATACACATTAAATGCAGGGGAGAGGGATTAAAACACAGGACACGAGTTTAAAATGCATGTTTGGAACTGGCTGGGCAGGCCTGCCAGAAGAGATAGGTGCGTGTGCAGGCGTGTGTACATATATACCTTAATCAGTTTGTAATTCTGGAAATACATCATTCATGGGATTACATATATTTAATTCTGTTTTAATGTTTGCATTTTTTTTACAGGCTTGTAATTGTATTCTTATCAGTTTGCCTGTAAGCTGCTTTGAATCTGTCTTTTTGTTTGTGTGTGGAAAGAAACACCTTTCTCTGAGTGTGTGTGTCTGTGTATCCGTCAAGGCCAGGCCTACACAACCAGTGGTCCTCCAAGGCTTTAGGCCTCCAATTAGCTGGCTTTTTCAGTGGCCAGGAAGTCTGGGAACCGAAGTCCGAAACTCCTGATGCAAGCCTGGTCTAGAGAAGCCTCCCTGTTCCTGTGGCGGGCCTGCAAGCCATTTTCAACTTGTGGCATTCCTGGGGTGAACCCATTGCAGACAGGCCTTTCTTGACAGTGTCTGAGGCTGAGAGAGTGTGACCCACCTGAGGTCCCTGGGGGTCTCCATGGTCAAGGACCAAGGCCTGGACTGAGCCCAGCATTTTAAACCCACTGTGCTCCACACTGGCCCTCCTCTCACATGCCTGGGCATGCCTCTTGGAGAGCTCTCTCATAGAATCATAGAATCAAAGAATTGGAAGAGACCTCATGGGCAATCATCCAGTCCAACCCCATTCTGCCAAGAAGCAGGAATATTGCATTCAAATCACCCCTGACAGATGGCCATCCAGCCTCTGTTTAAAAGCTTCCAAAGAAGGAGCCACACACCACACTCCGGGGCAGAGAGTTCCACTGCTGAACGGCTCTCACAGTCTTTCCTGTAGTTTGAAGCCATGGCTCCATTGCGTCCAAGTCTGCAGAGAAGCAGAAAGGAAGCTTGCTCCCTCCTCCTCCCTGTGGCTTCCTATGTGCCTATACAATGCAGTATATAAACAAGTGCATTTTATAGGCACATAGGTCAGCATATCCATATTATCTGAACTGAAATGCCTGGGACCAGAAGTGTGTTGGGTTTTGCAATTTTGGGGATTCTAGGTCACTTGCCTTTGCGTATATGCACATAATGGGGTGTCTCGGAGATGGCACCCAAATCAAAACCTGCAACTCATTTATGTTTTCTGTGTAGTTTATATGCAGAGCCTTGAATGCAGTATTAAAAAAAATTGTGCCTGAAACAAAGTCTGTCTCCCCCAAACCATTTGGAAAACAGAGGTGTCAGCTCTCTGTGTGGACAGCTCTGGGTTCTGAAGGATTTGGGATTCCCAGAGAAAGGAGGCTCAAGTTGTGTGTGTGGAAATACACCACTGGCCTTACAGATCCACAGGCTTTGTCACCACAAATGCAACTTTACCTTCCTTTAAACCCCCCCCCCCCCCCAATAAAGCAGCCTGATTTTGCCATTTTATATTAGAGATCTTTTACTGCAGCATTATATATAGTACGCCTTGCACTTTCAGGGGTTTTGGTATCCAAGGGGACCCCAATTTCCCACACTGCCAGAGTGTGTGTACACATGTATGTGTGGAGTTAGTTTCCAGATGTCACCAAATCCAAAGTAATTGAAAAACGAGTTATAGGTGGTTGCACATCATTAGTTACCAGTAGAATCTGATATTCAGGGCTTGGAAACCGCATTTCATCACAGAAGAATGCTTCTTTTAGTTCCTGTAAAAATTGTTCCAATAGATTTGGAACTTTTTTGGAAGCAAGCTCCACATGCACACATGCACGCGCGCACTCACACACACACACACTTATAGCTGCCTGAGCAGATTGATAGATAGATGGATGCACATATGCACAGGTGTCTTGACAATTTTCTTTTATCTTAGGACATCCATCTGAGATCTACATTGCTCCAAGAAAACGTGACCTTCTCTGTAAGCATCATGTATGTGTATCTCTTTGGATGCTCCTGTATGTGCGTGCCTTGTGTATCTGTTTGGGTGCTTATGCGTGTCTTTATACATATCCTTTGAACGTGATTTTCCTGCTTCTTGGCAGACTGGGGTTGGACTGGATGGCCCAACTCCAGGATTCTGTGTACACAAGCCTTCTTTGCTCAGCTTTGAGAGAGGGGAATTGGAAAGAAAGTGTGGAGTTGCTTCACTTTGCTTTTATAGAAAAGAGCTTTCAAGACACAACTGGGGTGTGTGGTGGGGAGGTTTGTGCATTTTAAGGAGGCTGTTATGGTTTTAAGGGAGAGTCATTGAGTGGTCTGCTTAATTCTATTTTGATATATGTACGCTGGGGTTTTTAAACTGCACCGTTTTTTAATGTTGCAAGCTGCTTTCCATCTCAGTTGAGATAAAAGCTGGGTGATGCTGGTCATGGTGACAAGTAATAATAGTAACCTCTGATATATGTATTTGTTTTGTAGGTTCATTCTTGCACTGTGTGTTTGAATGTATGTACTTTGTGGTGGTGTGTAATAGCAATAATAATAAGGAGTCTGAATCAATATTTTTGTGAGTTCCCCAGAGCGGTTGTGGGGGGCGAGGGGTCTATGGCAGGGCAACCCAGTTTAATGGATTACATCTGGCCCTGCCAGAGTGTTTTAAATCTCTTGTGTGTTATTGCTTATATGTTTAGTTATAGTCTTTATATTGTTTTATTTCCTTGTTTGCTTTGTTGATGGATAGCCAAGACTCCAGAGGACAGGAGCAGAATTCAAAACGATCTTGACAGATTAGAGAGATGAATGGCCAAAACTAACAAAATGAAGTTCAACAGGGACAAATGCAAGATACTCCACTTTGGCAGGAAAAACAAAATGCAAAGAGACAGAATGGGGGACGATGAGGCTTGGCTCGAGAGCAGGACGTGTGAAAAAGATCTTGGAGTCCTCATGGAGAGGAAGGTAAACATGAGCCAGGAATGTGATGTGGCGGCAAAAAAAAAGCCAATGGGATTTTGGCCTGCATCAAGAGGAGCATGGTGTCTGGATCTAGGGAAGCCATGCTCCCCATGCTCTATTTTGCCTTGGTCAGACCACACCTGGAATATTGTGTCCAATTCTGGGCACCACAATTCAAGAGAGATATTGACAAGTTGGAATGTGTCCAGAGGAGGGCGACTCAAATGATCAAGGGTCTGGAGAACAAGCCCTATGAGGAGCGGCTTAAGGAGCTGGGCATGTTTAGCCTGAAGAAGAGAAGGCTGAGAGGGGATATGATGAGGGCCCTGGATAAATATCAGAGAGGGAGTCATAGGGAGGAGGAGGGAGCAAGCTTGTGTTCTGCTTCCCTGGAGACTAGGACGCAATGGAGCAATGGCTTCAAACTACAAGAGAGGAGATTCCATCTGAACATGAGGAAGAACTTCCTGACTGTGAGAGCCGTTCAGCAGTGGAACTCTCTGCCCCGGAGGGAGTGTGGTGGAGGCTCCTTCTTTGGAAGCTTTTAAACAGAGGCTGGATGGCCATCTGTCAGGGGTGATTTGAATGCAATATTCCTGCTTCTGGGTAGAATGGGGTTGGACTGGATGGCCCAGGAGGTCTCTTCCAGCTCTTTGATTCTAGGATTCTATGTACTGTTGTATTTGTATTTGACGGGCTTGGCCTCATGCAAGCTGCCCTGAGTCCCTTCGGGAAGATGGTAGGGTATAAATAAAGTATTATTATTATTGTTGTTGTTGCAGGAAATACATCTCAAGTGAGAGAGCAGAGAGAGGAAAAGACCTTTAGTCCTCTTTGCTAGAAGAGTCCCTGAGGCTGACTGGCGTGCCTCTGTGTGTGCCAGGCCTCTTGAGGCAGAGGGGAGCCTCGTGGGTCACAGTAAAACAGACATTAACGACCTTTGGGGAGAAGAGGGAGACAGTGACTTGTCTCCATAGAATCCTAGAGTTGGAAGAGACCTGGTAGGGTATCCAGCCCAACCCTATTCTCCCAAGAAGCAGGAAAATTGCCTTCAAAGCCCCCGTCCCGACAGATGGTCACCCAGTCTCTGTTTCAATCCCTCTGAAAAGGAGCCTCCACCACACTGGGGCAGAGAAAGAGGAGAGTTCCACTGTTGAACAGCTCTCACCATTAGGACATTCTTTCTTTCGGGTGGAATCTCCTTCCTTTCCTGTAATTGGAAGCCATTGCATCCTAGTATTTTATATATATATAAATATATATATTTATATATATATATATAAATGCTCTGTGCATAATGAGTACCTTAAAAACAAAAGAACCAATGAACGAATGGGACACAGTGTGATTCCAGGTAAAGTGTTCTGCCTAAGGCAGAACAGAGCAGAGAGGTGCATGACTTCCCTAGATCTGGGCACTAAACAGGCCAAAATCCCCTTGGGTTTATTTGCTGCCACATGACACTCCTGCCTCATGTTCTCCTTCCTCTCCACAAGATCTTTTCCACAAGTCCCGCTGTCGAGCCAGGCCTGATCCCCCATTCTGTCTCTTTGCCTTTCCTTTTTTCTGCCTGAGGCAGGGACCAAACCCCTTGAGTCACGCAGATCAAGGAGAGAGGGGGGGGGGGGGGGGGGGGGGTGGAGACATCAATGTATACATCGATGTGTGGGGGCTTCTCCCTTTGCAGCACTGGCAGCATCCTGAAGGCACTCCTTCTGCACAACCAGGGAGCGTCCCCCCGAGGGTCTTCTGCGCTTGGACCCCATTGAGCCCCCCTTTGAGGCCATGGACGGCCTCGCTCCAACGGTGAGTGGCTGATGAAACAAGTGGAGGCCCCCACTTTGGGGAGAAGGAGGATGTTTGGGGATGGGTGCTCCCCTGGCCACCACTGTGGCTTTGGGGGAGACTGAGGGAGCTTGGGTAGTCTGTGGGGAGGGGGCTCTTGCGGTCTCCCTCCCACACCCCATTTTCAGAGCCCTCTTTCCAACTCTCCCTCCTTCCCCCAGCTGCCCCTGACCGAGCAGAAGGCCAATGTGGAGAAGGAGGCCCCGAACCTCCTGAAAAATGCCTCCCGGCTCCCCGTCCCAGGCGTGCGTCCCAAGCGGCCGGCCACCTGTGAGAACGGACCCCCTGAGCCCCTTCAGGTGAGCGAGGCATCCTCAGCGGCTGTTGGAGTGGGGAATGGGAGTTGCCATGACGGGAAGGCCAGGTGACCTCTCCCCGTCCTGACTCCTCTGCCTTCTCTCCAGAAACGCTTCCGGGGGGCTGGCCCCACCACGAAGAGGGAAGCCATGACGGTGGCCACCTCCCGGCCAAGGCCCCCTCCTGTCGCCCCTGCACAGCGCAACCCCCCTGGGGGAGCAGGTGAGTGAGGGAGTGTGTGTGTGACGGGGGGGAGGGGGCTGGACTGGAGGAAAGGGGTGCCCTGGACTAGAACAAGGTGGGGGGGAGGGGTCCCATCCCAGGGGTCTGGAGCCCCAGTAGAGGGGGGTGTTATAGTTCAGCCTTTGATGGTGCCTGCCCCTGATGGCACTGAAGAAGTAGATCCTGGGGATTGTAGGCCTGCGAGTCAGCCGGAGATGGTTAGTCCTGAGCCGTCTATGTCTCCAGTCGCTAGTGAGGGCCACATTCCAGAGAGGGGCCAGATGCTGTAGAGAACCCAGAAGCAAGGTCAGAGGATGAGATGAGCTCAGAGAGGACATTCCAGGTGGAGAGACTAGTGAGCTGATAGATAGGAGATTTAGGTATCGTGAATGCAGAGCTGCTCAGCAGAGTTTGCAAAGGTCAAAATGCTTCTTAGCAAAAAAAAAAAAAATCCTTATTAGTTTCTGAGGGGAGGCAGCATGATTCTCTGCCTATGACAGAAAGACCAGAGGGCTTTCTTAGCAGCCTGGTCAACATTTGGGTTTGAGTAGCAACACCCAAGTCTCAGCTAGCCTATGGAGGGATTTCTACGTACATCTCTCGTGCCTTCCAAGTTTAAGTGGTTATTCCTGGATTTCTGAATTGGATTTTTATGCCGCCTTTTGAATTCTATGCTGGATGTCTGGTTGTCTTGGATTCTGAAACCACTCTTGTACCTTGAATTGTGTGGACTTGCGTTACATTTCTAGTATTTTTGCCAAACTGCGTCTATATAAACTGCTTTGGTGTTCTAACTGGGACGGGAGTGTGGTGCTTAAGTGAGGCTGGCTGGGCTTCTCCACAGGGCGACGCGGGTCATCCTCTCAGCCAGGAGGAGGAAGCGGAGCTGCAGGTCCCGCTGCAGGTAGGCCTTGGGCCAGTGCAGGGGGGCCTTGGGGGGGGGGTCCCCTCTGCAAGATCTCGTGCCCACCTCCCTGTCTCTCTCCTCAGCAGCAACCCGCCGGGCAGGAGCAGCAGCGCCTTCCAAACCAGGTAGGCCGACCTGCTTTGAAGGCGGAACAAGGGGGCGGGTCCATCCCAATGTCCTCCCACCTCATGGCTTCCTTCCATCTCCTTCCCAGCCACCTTTCCTGCTTCCTCTGCTGCCGCTGCCACCGGCCTTGGCGGAGGGGGAGAGAGGAAGAGGCCCGCCTGGGACCTGAAGGGGCAGGTGAGTGACCTCCGGGCCAAGGTGGCCACCTACAGAGAGAAGCTGCAGGTGCTGAGCGAGGAGAACAAGACCCTCCAGCTCCAGGAGGCAGAGCTGCAGGCGGCACTGGGCAAGAGCACCGCCCAGGTGGAGGAGCTCAGCGGAAGGGCCAGGTGAGTGGGGACATAGTGGGGGGGGCAGGGGAGGGGCGTCTCTGAGGGACCCCTGAGAGTGACACGGCGCCCCTCCCTCCGTGCAGTGCGTTGGCCTCGGAGCTGCAGGCCGGCCAGGAGGAGGCCAGGGAGAGCAGCCGGAAGATTGCGGAGCTGGTGGCCAAGGAGCGGGACCTGGAGCACGTCGTCCGCAGCCAGGCCGTGGCCATCGCGAAGCTGGAAGTGGTCAGCCGGGAGGCCACGGAGGCCAAGGTGGAGCTGACAGCCAGGTTAACAGCCAGAGAGGTGAGAGGCTTGGTGGGCAGGGGGGGCTGGGCGGCAAATCCACATCCTGGGAGGGGGAGAGAGCAGCCCCGCTGGGTGGCGGGAAAGCAGGAATAGGATGCGGTCTCGGGAGGAAGAGGAGAAGGATCCGTCCTCACAGGAGGACCCAAGGGGACTCAAGAGTGCAGAGGAGACCGGGCTTGGCCATAGACTTAAGTCCATGCCTTAGCCACATCCCTCTCTGCCAGGGGCTGCCTTTGAAGATTGTTCGGAAACTACGACTCCCACGCTGCGACAGCTCCACTGGCTGCCGGTCCACTTCTGGACTAAATATTTATTTACGGCATTTCTATGCTGCCCTTCTCACCCCGAAGGGAACTCAGAGTGGCTTACAAAAAATATATTTATGTATTAATTATTTATTTAAAAGTTTTGTATCCCGGCCTTCTCACCTCTCTTGAGGGACTCAGACCGGTTTCCAACCATAAAACATCATAATACACATTACAGTAAAACATTAAAACAGCAATTACAATCAATAACTATAATGGTCAGTCGTCACACTAAAATCATTGCTCATCATCCTCCATCCATATCTCAGGGTGTTGGCTCACTCGTCGAATGCCTGTCTCCATAACCAAGTCTTCACCTGTTTCCTAAATGTCAGGATAGACGGGGCGGTTCTGATCTCCAGTGGGAGAGAGTTCCAGAGTCAAGGGGCCACCACCGAGAAGGCCCTGTCCCTCGTCCCCACCAGACACGCTTGCAAGGCCGGTAGGACTGAGAGCAGGGCCTCTCCAGACGATATATAGACATACAATATATTATATTATTACCATAGTAAAATATCAGTATTATATATTACTGTATTTTACAATAACGTTATATTGTAATATTAGGAATATTACATGTAATATAAAATATATAATTATAATATCACTATTAGTATTATATTGTATTATATTATAATATTATAAATATTATGTGTATATACAATATATTATAAAAACAAAGTGCTGGTCATTGCCTATAAAGCCCTAAAAAGTTCAGGTCCAGGCTATTTGTCCAATCGCATCTCCCTGTATAGACTGTCACACGCACTGTGGTCTAGAGGAGGCCCTTCCCTCGGTCCCACCCCCGTCTCAAGTTCAGCTGGTGGGAACGAGAGGCAGGGCCTTCTCCGTGATTGCTCCCTGCCTCTGGAACTCCTTTCCTAAAGAAATAAAAACGGGGCCCCACCCTCCTCTCCTTGAAGGAACTTCTGAAAATGTACCTATGTACTTTAGTGTATGGAGAGGAGGAGGAGGAGGATTAGGACACTTGACATGCTGGCTAACCCTCGTGCATGAGATGGCTGTTATGGTACTTCTTAAATGAAGCACCGTTGTGGTCAGGCATTTTTAATGTAATGTCTCTTAATTTGCTTTTAGGGTGTACACTGTAATGTTTATTTATGTTTTAGTTTTTATGTCTCAGTGGATTGTTCCTGTTTTTTTATTTTTTTATTTTTTTAGAAATTTTGTATCCCGGTTTCCTCACCTCCATCGAGGGACTCAGGCCGGTTTCCAACAACAATATCACAAACAATCATCAAAACATCATATTCCATATTACACTAAAAACATTAAAAGAGCAAAATACAGTCATATAATTACAATGGTCAGTCGTCACAATAAAATTGTTGTTCATCATCATCCAACCATTTTTTATTTATTTTTATGCTTAATTCTTTTGTTGTCAGTTTTCTGCTGTAACTGTCTGTTATTCTGTATATTTTTGATGCATTTGTACCCATTTTGCGGCATTGAACATTTGCCTTTTTATGTGTAAACTGCCCCGAGTCCTTCCAGAGAGAGAGGGTGCGGTCTAGAAAAAAGTATTATTATTATTATTATTATTATTATTACTTCTACTATTACTACTAGCTGTACCTGCCACGCGTTGCTGTGGGCAACCTTCCCTCCCTCTTTCTCTCCTTTCCCTCCTCCCTTCCCTTTTCTTCTCTCCTTCCCTCTCTCCATCCTTCCTTCCTTCCTTCTCTACCTCTTTCCTTCCTTCACTCTTCCCTTCTTTCTTTCACTCCCTCTTTCTCTTTCTTTCTCCCCTTCCTTCCCTCCCTCTTCCTTCCCTTTTTTCTGTATCATGATTTAGCTTTTCATCATTTAGAGTTTTGGGGTTTTTAAGTTCTTTCTGCTGTTTTTAGGGGATTTTATGAGTGATGGTCACTCATTGGTCTGTTAGGGGTATAGTGTCCAAATTTCAGGTCAATTGGTCCAGTAGTTTTTGAGTTACATTAATCCCACAAACGAACATTACATTTTTATTTATAGAGATGAGGATGATGATTATGATTATTCCCTCACTGGCCTTCAAGCACGCAGCTGCTTCCCATGGCAGACCAAGGGACCCTAATGAGTCCTGGGACCCCTCCCTCCCCCCTCCCTCTTTTTCAGTTGGAGCTTTCACGGACGGAGGCAGCCCTGGCCCAGCGGACGGAGCAGAAGGAGGCCCTGGAAGCCCGGGTAGCTGAGATCGAGGAGAAGCTGCACGAGTCGGAGATGGAGCGCCGGATATTGCACAACACGGTCCAGGAGCTGAAGGTCAGATGGGCAGAAGAGCTGTGGTAGAGGGAGGGTGGAAGGGGGGGGGGCTCTGGACCGTGTGCCTGTGTGTATCCCGCCTGAGCCCCTCCCCATCTACCCCCCAGGGCAACATCCGTGTCTTCTGCCGTGTGCGCCCACTGCTGCCCTGCGAGAAAGAGACCCAGAGGGGCATGGCCCACCTCCACTTCACGCCCGATGATCGGAAGGGCCTCGTCCTCTCCAAGGTGGAGGAGGTAGGAAGGCACCCTGCGTATGTGTGTGTTTATGTGTGAATCCCAGCATGCCCTGCTGCTCCCCTGCTGCCTCTTTCCCTCTGTCAGGGAGAAGGGAGAGCCAAGAGCAGACACGCCAAATCAACAGCAGATCAGTCCTCAGAGCCTTGCCTTGGGTCTGGCAGGGAAGGAGAAGCTCCATTCTCCCTGCAAAAACAAAGCCAGGAGCAGATTGTGACAGAAACCATGAACACTCCTTACAAATATTGCAGTAGAACTTGAGAACACTCAGCCAACCATCATGCTGACACGTGAAGAGATGAGAAGCAAAAGGGGACAAAACGGTCAGAACCTTAGATGCAACTTCATCAGATTGTGCCAAGGAACCCCTCCCCCCAAAAAGGAGCAGTTCAATATGGCTTTTTGAACAAGCATTTCCAAATGCAGAATAACTGACATAGGAAAATGGAATGACAACAATGAGACTGGGCAACGTTTTTAACAAGGAGACACTATGAATTTATATTTTATTGATCTGTTTAGTTTTTATTATATGTTATGTTTTTAATTGGATTTAAGATATTGTAAGCATTGAATTTTATTATTATTATTATTATTATTATTATTATTATTATTATTATTATTATAACTTTATTTGTACCCCGCTAGCATCTCCCAAGGGATTCGATGCGGCTTACAATAGGCCGGAGCCCAACACGATACAACAACCCTGTTAACCGCCTTGAGTCGCCTACGGGCTGAGAGAAAGACAGTAAATAAATAATTAAATGGCAAGCATCTATGGCAAGCATCCTCACTTCCTCTGAGGATGCTTGCCATAGATGCAGGCGAAACGTCAGGAGAGAATGCCCCTTGAACATGGCCATATAGCCTGGTAGAACCTACAACAACCCAATAAATAAAAAGTCCAGAGATGTGAAATAGCCTATTAACTGCAAGGTACAAAAGTAGAATACAAAATCCAAGGATGCAAAATCCAGATAAACAAGACAGCAAGACATCTAATACATAGAACCCCGGAATAATCCTTTATTTATTCATTTATTTACTTCATTTATATAGCGCTTTTCTCAGCCCTTGGGCGACTCAAAGCGGTTAACATCATAAAAACAGTTTAAAAAAACAATTAAAATAATAACATAATAAACAGTTAAACATCAATACACTTTACACTTGGAAACAGGTACTTGGCCAACTTGAAACATGAAACTAGCCATTCCCTTGACAAAAGCTTGATGCAAGATGCTCTTAAAGCTCCAACGTTGCCCAGGCTGATTGAAAATCTTTTTCCTGTCTCATATAAAGCTTATCAACCATGAAGGAATGATTTCATTTGCCTTTACAACCAGATAAGGGTCTCTTCACTAATAGGCGCAACGACCTTTGGCAGGCTTGGGAACTTATAGAAGTTTTGCCTTCTATCTTCCGGCTCATTAACCTCTGTGCCTGCCCCTTCGTCTTCAGAAGCCAGTTCCCTAGAGAAAGGCTGCCTTGGGCCCCCTCCAGGAATCTGGCCTTCAGACTCCGCAGGAGAAACACATCACTCATTTTCAAGGCTTGAAACCTCAGGCCACCAAAGCCATCATCCTCAGTGACACCAGACACAATCGCTGGCTGGTTTGTTTATTTATTTATTTGCGACATTCATATGCCGCCCTTCTCACCCCAAAGGGGACTCTGAGCAGCTTCCTCCCTCTCTCTCTCTCTCTCTCTATATATATATACACACACACACACACACACTATTCCATGAGCACAGTACAATATAGTGATGTGTCACGCTAATATTGTACAATATCAGCGCTACACATCACTATATTGTACTATACAATTATATTGTAATATTGTTAGTAATATTACATGTAATATAAAATATATAATAATATCATATTATTAGTAGTATTATTATACTGTATTACATTATAATATTATAAACATATGTATATACAATATATTATATTATATTATGAATTAGCATAAGAATTACAACAGTGTGTGTCTTTTGGCCACCCCACTTCACAAAAGTGTATGCTATGATAAAGACAGTCTTTCAGGCGAATGCTGGGGGGCGCAGGGAGGGCAGAGGAGCGGCCAGCCTGGGCAACGAACCCACCGTGCTCAAAAAGGCCGCTTTGGGTGGCCAGCCTTGGGAGTGCCCCAGTGTTGTTCTTCTGCCCTGATGGGGGAGGGGGCTGTCCGGTCTGCCCTGGGAGGAGGAGGCTTCCTGGTTTGGGCCCCCTGCCCCATGCTGCCTCTCCCCGCAGTCCCACGTCGGCCGGGAGCGCAAGGAGGACATCAGTTATGAGTTCCACTTCGACCGGGTCTTCCCACCGTCCAGCTCCCAGGCAGAGGTCTTTGAGGAGATCTCCTTGCTGGTCCAAGTAAGCGGGGAAGGGGCTGAATGTGGGGAAGGGGCTGGAGCCTGGGCCCAGTGTGGCCTCTCACCCCTTCTTCCTCCTCCTCTTCCCGCTGCAGTCGGCCCTGGATGGCTACCACGTCTGCATCTTTGCCTACGGCCAGACGGGGAGCGGGAAGACCTACACCATGGAGGGCCCCGAGGAGATGGAGCCCCAGGACGTTGGCATGATCCCCCGGGCCGTGCGCCAGATCTTCCAGGCCGCCAAGGAGATGGAGGGCAAGGGGTGGAAGGTCAGCCTCAGGCGGGGGAGGGAGGAGGGAAGGAAGGAAGGAAGGAGGGCCCAGAGGCCATCAAGTCCAACCCTCTTCTGCCTGGCCGCAGGGCAGAAGGTGTCCCTCCAGAGGAGGGAGGGAGGGAGGGAGGGAGGAGGGAAGGGAGGGAGGGAGGGAGGAGGAAGGAAGGAAAGGAAGGAAGGAAGGAAGGAAGGAAGGAAGGAAGGAAGGAAGGGGGCTGCACCACGTGTGACTCTTTCCGGAGCTCAGGGAGAGCTGTCCTTTGCCTCCGTCCATCTGTCGGCTTCTCTTCCCAGGCAGGCAAGGAGGCCAGCCTCTGCCAGGGAACCACAAGGAGGGAGAGGAGGCCGTCTGTTTGTCTGTCTGTCTGCCTCTCTGCTGGTCCCGTCCTTTTGGCAGAGCCTTCCCTTCAGGAACAGATGGCGGGTGCAATGGGATGGATGGATGACTCCCATCATAGGGAAGGAGAGCTGCGGAGGGAGGCACGCTCCTCCCCTCCCCTCGCCTCTCTCAGAAAGCAGGCTGGCCCCAAAGCACCGACCCATAAGCGGTGGTTTTGGAGGCTGGCCCCTCTCTCCTCCGTCCTTCCGTGGTGGGCTTGACCTTTCCCCTTCCAACCCACAGACCCTTCCTGCCAGAATGACTTGCCCTCCCTCTGTTCTGGGGACTTGCTTTCTTTTGGGTGACATCCACAGACAGACAGAGAAGTGGAGGGGCTCTTGCTCTCTTTGAGGGTCTTTTGGGAAAGAAGGAAGGATGGAGGAGGAAGGTTGGGTTGTCTGGCCATGTTCCAGAAGCATTCTCTCCTGGCGTTTTGCCTGCATCTATGGCAGGCATCTTCAGAGGTTGTGAGGATGCCTGCCAGAAGCATTCTCTCCTGGCGTTTTGCCTGCATCTATGGCAGGCATCTTCAGAGGTTGTGAGGATGCCTGCCAGAAGCATTCTCTCCTGATGTTTTGCCTGCATCTATGGCAGGCATCTTCAGAGGTTGTGAGGATGCCTGCCAGAAGCATTCTCTCCTGATGTTTTGCCTGCATCTATGGCAGGCATCCTCAGGTGGTGAGGATGCCTGCCATAGATGTGGGCGAAACGTCAGGAGAGAATGCTTCTGGAACATGGCCAGACAGCCTGGAAAACTTACATCAACCCAGTGATTCCGGCCATGAAAGCCTTTGACAACCCAAGAGGCAGGCTTTCTTTCACCAGGGCTGGGCACTGCCCTTCAGCTGCCATTGGGGTTCATGACCAGGGAAGACATGAGGGGCTCAAGGGAGAGCGATTTTGGGTCCCCGGCTGGGCATCCTGGGCTCTGGCATGAAGGGCAAGGCAGCTTGTTAGCCACATGATCTACGTACAGCATCCCTTCTGGTGCCTCAGCCCTCACTTCCTTCCTGGGGGGGGGGGGGCATTCTGGGGATGTTGGGGGCGGCTGCACACCACCTCCCCCCCCCCCCCCCCCCCCCCCAGTACCACTTCACGGCCAACTTCCTGGAGATCTACAACGAGACCCTGAGGGACCTTCTGGTGCTGCGGCCGGAGCAGAACGCGGAGCTGGAGATCCGGAGGGTCAGCCAGCACACCGAGGAGCTCCATGTCCCCAACCTCAGCTACATCAAAGTCACCTCGGAGCAGGAGGTGGGCCGGGGTGTCATTTGGGGGGGGGGGGGCGGAGGGGAGGGGTTGAGGGCCCCTATGACCTTCCCCCCTCCTCCTCCTCCTTCTCCAGAGAGTCCTCCATTTCTGCCTGGGGGACGGAGGGGAGGGCCCCCCTTTCCTTGGTGCCACTTTGAGCCTGTGCCCCCCTCCCCCTGCTCTCTCCCCCTGTCTCCCCCCTGTGTGCATGCAGGTGCTGAGGCTGCTCCAGCGAGCCAAGGCCAACCGCTCTGTAGCCCGGACCAACCTGAACGAGCGCTCCTCCCGCAGCCACAGCCTCTTCCAGCTCCGCATCGAGGGCCAGCACGCTGCCCGGGAGCTCCACACCTCCTGTGAGTGGCTCCCCTCCCCTCCCCATTCCCCGGCCTCCCCAAAGTCCACCTGCGTATGGTTTGCTCCTTGCACAGAGGCAGAGAGGAAGGGGCTCCCAGGGGTTACTTATCACTCTTGCCCAGAGAAGAATGGCTTGCCCTCTTGGGAAGAACTCTCTTCACTTGCAATTGGACTGTGGAAGGAGGGGAGTTGTGCTTGGAAGTTCTGCATCTATTATTGATGGATGGACAGTCTTTCTATTCCGCCCTTCTCCTCACCCCGCAGGGGACTCAGGGCAGATTGCAGTGCACATCTACATGGCCAACATTCAGTGCCATAGACCAGGGGTCCTCAAACGAAGGCCCAGGGGCCAAGTACAGCCCTCCAAGGCCATTTGCCCGGCCCTCGCTCAGGGTCAACCTAAGTCTGAAATGACTTGAGAGCACACAACAACAACAACAGCAACAACAATCCTATCTCATCAGCCAAAAGCAGGCCCACACTTGTATTTGTTAAAGTTGTTCTTCATTTTAATTATTGTATTGTTTTTAAGTGGTTTTTTGCACTACAAATAAGATCTGTGCAGTGTGCATAAGAATTCATTCATGTTGTTTTCACATTATAATCCAGCCCTTCAACGGTTTGAGGGACTGTGACCTGGCCCTCTGTTTCATAGACAGACACAGATGCCATGTGACATTCCAGCTTTTTCCTGGATTTATGAGGGTATGCTCATGGGAAGGAAGGAGATTAGAGGCCAAGAGGAAGTCCTTTGAAGGCCACATCATGAGGAGACAGGAAAGCTTAGAGAAGAGAAGGATGCTGGGGAAAAGGGAAGGAAAAAGGAAGAGGGGCCGACCAAGGGCAAGGGGGGAGGATGGCATCCGTGAAGTGACTGGCTTGACCTTGAAGGAGACCCTGGGGGTGGCCATGGCCGACAGGGAGCTCTGGCGTGGGCTGGTTGGAAATGATTGAATGAATGAACAACAACAACAAATGATGTTGTTGTTTGTGTCTGTGTTAAGTTTATTGATGGATTTTAATGCTGTTGGTTTGATCTGTAATTTGAGCTCATCCCTATGTCAGCCGCCCCAAGTCCCCGTGGGAGATGGCGGCAGGGCATAAAAATAAAGTTATTATTATTATTATTATTTGAAACACCACAAGATGAGTCCACAGCAGACTCTCTGCTGGCTGCTGTATTGGATCACACATCAGACATTCCCCAAGTGTCTAGGACTGTGTGATGTGTTGTTGTTGTTGTTATTTGAGACACCACAAGACGAGTCCACAGCAGACACTCTGCTGGCTGTTGTAATGGATCACACGTTGGACACTTCCCAAGTGTCTAGGACAGTGTTTCTCAACCTGGGGGTCGGGACCCCTGGAGGGGTCGCGAAGGGGTGTCAGAGGGGTCGCCAAAGACCATCAGAAAACACAGTATTTTCTGTTGGTCATGGGGGTCTCTGTGTGGGAAGTTTGGCCCAATTCTATCATTGTTGGAGTTCAGAACGCTCCTTGATTGTAGGTGAACTATAAATCCCAGCAAGTACAACTCCCAAATCTCAAGGTCTGTTTTCCCAAAACCCCACGAGTGTTCACATTTGGGCATATGGAGTATCCGTGGCAAGTTTGGTCCAGAACAATAATTGCTGGAGTCTAGAGTGCTCTCTGGATGTAGGTGAACTTCAACTCACAAACTCAAGGTCAATGCCCACCAAACCCTTCCAGTATTTTCGTTGGTCATGGGAGTTCTGTGTGCCAACTTTGGTTCAAATCCATTGTTGGTGGGGTTCAGAATGCTCTTTGTTTACAGGTTAACTATAAATCCCGGCAACTACAACTCCCAAATGGCAAAATCAATCCCCCCGCCAACCCCACCAGTATTCAAATTTGGGCATACTGGGTATTTGTGCCAAACTTGCTCCAGTGAATGAAAATACATCCTGCAGATCATTATTTACATGGTGATTCATAATGTTAGGGTTATGGTTGGGGGTCACCACAACATGAGGAACTGTATTAAGGGGTTGTGGCATTAGGAAGGTTGAGAAACACTGGTCTAGGACTATTATTATTATTATTATTATTATTATTATTCATGACATTGGCCTTTAATTTCATTGTGCGCTGTACAATGACAATGGTGTGACTGTGTCCTCTTGCCCTGGCGGTGGCTCCAGCGGTGCTGAGCCTGGTGGACCTGGCCGGGAGCGAGCGGCTGGACAAGTCCTTCTCGACGGGGGAGCGCCTCAAGGAGACCCAGGCCATCAACAGCAGCCTCTCCAACCTGGGCCTGGTCATCACAGCCCTCAGCAACAAGGTCGGAATATACCGCGGGCACACAGGCTTCCCCTAGATCTTGGCCCGGGGGGGTGGGGGGCAGAGGAGGGTACCACAGCATGGACCCCTTGCCAAGTTACAATCCCAAGGAAAGGAGCAGCAGGGGCTGGAAGTTCACCTGTTGGGAGAGCTTTGATGGTGTCCTCCTGCCTGGCAGAATGGGCATGGGCTGGTTGGCCCTGAGGGTTGCAGGCTCAGAGGGGAGGAAGGGGCCCCTAAAGACCCCCCAGCCTAGCCCGGCCCTTTCTGCTTTCATGCAAGGAAATCCCTGCATGAGGGGTCTTGCCTCCCTTCCTCCTGCCGTGGGATCCCTGGGAGTGGGGTGTGCATGGCCCTGGGGTCCCTGGGAAGGAGCTTCTCCCTTCACCCCAATGTCCCAATCTGCCGGCTGAGCCTCACGCTCCCTCTCTTCCTCCTCCCTTTGCAGGAAGCCCATATTCCTTACCGGAACAGTAAGCTGACTTACTTGCTGCAGAACTCCCTGGGAGGCAGCTCCAAGATGTGAGTCGGGGGCCAGGAGATTTTGGGGGGGAGACCCCTCCCTCAGTGTTGGAAGGCAAGGCCTCACTTCCACCCTCTCTCTTGCCCTCAGGCTCATGTTTGTCAACATCTCCCCCTTGGAGGAGAACTTTGGGGAGTCCCTCAGCTCCCTCCGATTTGCCAGAAAAGTAAGTCATGGAGCAATATTTGGCACCCATAGAGTAGATAGAGTGCGGCGTAGCCAGTGCTAGGTGTGAGCTTCTGGGAGGAAATGGGAGGGGAGAGTTCCTCTGCTGAACAGCTCTCACCGTCAGGAAGTTCTTCCTCATGTTCAGGTGGAATCTCCTCTCTTGAAGCCCAACCAAACCCCAATCTCTCTCTTCCTCATTGCACTTTGCAGGTAAATGAGTGTGTCATCGGGACGGCATCGGCCAACAGGAAATGAGGGGCGGACGACGGATGGCGGGACGGATGGTGCCTTTGCCAGCAAAGAAGCGCTTTGGGGTCCATGACTGGGGTGGGGGAGGGGTTGGTTGACCCCCACTCCCCAGTTTCTTATTCCTTATTCTCTTTCTGTGATTATTGGGGTGTGTGTGTTTTTTTAATCTTTCTTACGCTGTTATAAAAACAAATGTTAATAAACTTTGTGAATAAAGGTGGGCAGTGGGTGCTCGGTCATTGCTGCGGGGGCTTCTCTGGAGCCTTGGGGGGGGGGCTCTGTGTCCCCGTCTATGGAAGGGGGAGGGGCTTGATGTCCCCAAGTTGGACATTTGTGTGTTTGTGTTAAGATTAGATTCAATCCCAAGAGTTGGAAGGGGCCTCCAAGGGCCATTCAGTCCAACCAAACCTCTTCCAGGAAGAGGAAGGGGCCACCAAGGGCAGGGAAGGGGCATCCCGTCCAGCCCCCTTCTTTCCTCTCTCAGGCAGGAAGCCAATGCAGAAGCCCCCCCCCCCCCCGCGTCTCCCAGCCTCTGCTTTGAGAGGTGGTGCACCTGCCACCCTTTCAGCAGAGCCCAGAAGGCCATCTGTCAGGAAGGCTTTGCGTTGGGGTCTCCTCCAACTCTGTGAGCCCATGAGGCTAGGCTGCATTGTTTGTGTGTGTGATGGATAAATAATAATAATAATAGGGTTGTTGTAGGTTTTTCCGGGCTATATGGCCATGTTCTGGAGGCAAATTGCCTCCAGAACATGGCCATATAGCCCGGAAAAACCTACAACAACCCAGTGATCCCGGCCATGAAAGCCTTCAACAACAACAACAACTATTATTATTATTATTATTATTATTATTATTATTATTATTATTTTATTAATAATCACAGGATGTGTCATACCTGCACCTGTTAATAGACTCTACAATAGGCATGGGCCAACTTTGGCCCTCTAGGTGTTTTGGACTCCAACTCCCACAATTCCTAGCTGGAGTTGAAGTCCAAAACACCTGGAGAGAGGGCCCAAATTGGCCCATGCCTGCTCTACCAGCTAGCTGGCATTGCCTCCTCCCAGTAGACTCAAATCAAGGGAAAGCTGCATGAGGACCATGCCCATCCCTCTGGGCAGCTCAACCAGGCAATCCCACGAGGGAGGGTCTTCCTCCAGAATGGCAAACCAAGCATGGGCAACGTGGAAGGCCCAGAACAGACTCGGAAGCGGAGTGGGCAGGCCCAAAGGTGGCAAAATGGCACGACCGAAAAGACCCCTCCACCTGGTGCGACTATGGAGCAGAACACACCACTCTGCACCTGTGTGCTTGTCTGCAAGGCCCTGCCTCATGCACAGAGGAAGAACGGTTTCAAGCTACAGGCAAGGCTCTTGCCCAGTTTTGGTCTATTTTACTGTGTTGTTGCTGTGTTTTGGTTTTTATCTTACTGTAATTTTGCTCTCTGGGCTTGGCCTTATGTAAGCCGCCCTGAGTCCCCTTTGAGGAGAAGGAGGCAGGGTATAGATGAGTCCACAGCAGACACTCTGCTGGCTGTTGAATTGGATCCCACGTCGGACCCTTCCCAAGTGTCTAGGACTGTGTGATTTATTATTGTTATTGTTGTTATTATTATTATTATTATGTATCGGCGATTAAAGCGTGCAGATCCCAGTAAGGTGGCCTTTTGCAGCTGGCCGGTGGTCATCTTGTCAGCGCCGATTGTGTTTAAGTGCAGGCCAAGGTCTTGAGGCACTGCACCCAGTGTGCCGATCACCACTGGGACCCCCTTGACTGGCTTGTGCCAGAGTCTTTGCAGTTCGATCTTTAAATCCTCATATTGTGTCAGCTTTTCCAGTTGTTTCTCGTTAATCCTGCTGTCACTTGGGATTGCAACATCGACAATCCATACTTTTTAATACGATTCATAGAATCCTAGAGTTGGAAGAGACCTCCTGGGCCATCATCCAGTCCAACCCCATTCTGCCAAGAAGCAGGAATATTGCTTTCAAATCACCCCTGACAGATGGCCATCCAGCCTCTGCTTAAAAGCCTCCAAAGAAGGAGCCTCCACCACACTCTGGGGCAGAGAGTTCCACTGCTGAACGGCTCTCCCAGTCAGGAAGTTCTTCCTCATGTTCAGATGGAATCTCCTTTGTGAGGTCAGGAGTCTTGTGCTCCAGAACTCTGTCTGTCTGAATCCGGAAGTCCCAGAGGAGTTTGGCATGTTCATTCTCTGTAACTCTTTCCAGCTTGTGATCCCACCAGTTCTTCGTCGCAGGCAGATGGTCTTTGTGGCACAAGTTCCAATGAGTCATCTAAGCAACGGTGTTGTGCCTCTGCTTGGAGTCGGTCAGTGATCTTCTTGCAGCAGCTGAGGATGGGATCTATTGTTTCATCTGCTTCCTTGCAGAGTCTACACTTGGGATCTGTCGCCGACTTTTCAATTCTGGCTTGGATGGCCTTGGTTTGAATGGCTTGTTCTTGGGTTGCCAGAATCAGGTCCTCCTTGGTCTCCTTTTGCAGAGTCCCATTTGGGAGCCACAGCCAAGTTTTTCCTTTGTCATTATTATTATTATTATACCGAGTCTACTGTACACCACGCAGCTGTGGACAAGTCTAGATAGCGACCCCCAAACGCAGCAGCCTTGCCCAACCACGAATAAAGGAACATGAAAGGCTCTGCAGACTCAATCAACCAGAGAAGTCGGCCATAGCAGAGCACCTGACGTATCCACCTGGGCACAGCATTTTATTTGAGAGCACAGAAATGCTGGACCACTCTCATAACCACCATGCCAGGCTACACAGAGAAGCCATTGACTTGCCAGGGACATTAAAAACAATAAAAAGGGCTTCTATTCTTATGTCAGTAGAAAAAGGAAAAACAAGGAGGCAATAGGACCTCTTCGCGGAGAAGATGGGGCAATGCTGACAGGGGATAGGGAAAAGGCAGAACTACTTAATGCCTTCTTTGCCTCGGTCTTCTCACAAAAAGAGAGTCTTCAACCTCAGCAAGATGGAGTGGATGAGGGATTAGAGGACATCCAACCCCAAATTGGGAAACAAGTCGTCCAGGAATACCTGGCCGCTCTAAATGAGTTCAAGTCCCCTTTCAGGGCCAGATCAACTACACCCAAGAGTACTGAAGGAACTAGCGGAAGTCATTTCGGAACCATTGGCAACCATCTTTGAGAGTTCTTGGAGAACGGGAGAAGTTCCAGCAGATTGTAGGAGGGCCAATGTGGTCCCGATCTTCAAGAAGGGAAAAAAGGATGACCCAAACAATGACCAATGTCCGGTCAGCCTCACGTCGATACCAGGCAAGATTCTGGAAAAGATTGTTAAGGAAGCGGTCTGCAAACACTTAGAAACAAATGCGGTCATCGCTAATAGTCAACATGGATTTATCAAAAACAAGTCATGCCAGACTAATCTGATCTCTTTCTTCGATAGAGTTACAAGCTGGGTAGATGCGGGGAATGCCGTGGATGGAGCGTGTCTGGACTTCAGGAAGGCCTTCTTTGACAAGGTCCCCCATGACCTTCTGGCAAGGAAACTAGTCCAATGTGGGCGAGGCAAAACTACGGTGAGGTGGATCTGTAATTGGTTAAATGGACGAACCCAGAGGGTGCTCACCAATGCTTCCTCTTCATCCTGGAAAGAAGTGACGAGTGGAGTGCCTCAGGGTTCCGTCCTGGGCCCGGTCCTGTTCAACATCTTTATTAATGACTTAGATGAAGGGTAGAAGGCAGGATCATCAAGTTTGCAGACAACACCAAATTGGGAGGGATAGCCAATACTCCAGAGGACAGGAGCAGAATTCAAAACGATCTTGACAGATTAGAGAGATGGGCCAAAACTAACAAAATGAAGTTCAACAGGACAAATGCAAGATACTCCACTTTGGCAGGAAAAATGAAATGCAAAGATACAAAATGGGGGACGCTTGGCTCGAGAGCAGGACGTGTGAAAAAGATCTTGGAGTCCTCGTGGACAACAAGTTAAACATGAGCCAACAATGTGATGTGGCGGCAAAAAAAGCCAATGGGATTTTGGCCTGCATCAATAGGAGCATAGTGTCTAGATCTAAGGAAGTAATGCTACCCCTCTATTCTGCTTTGGTTAGACCACATCTGGAATATTGTGTCCAATTCTGGGCACCACAATTCAAGAGAGGTATTGACAAGCTGGAATGTGTCCAGAGGAGGGCGACTAAAATGATCAAGGGTCTGGAGAACAAGCCCTATGAGGAGCGGCTTAGGGAACTGGGCATGTTTAGCCTGAAGAAGAGAAGGCTGAGAGGAGATATGATAGCCATGTATAAATATGTGAGAGGAAGCCACAGGGAGGAGGAGGGAGTGATATCGAGCTCTTTTGTGGGGGTCTCCCAGCGAGAGAGATCCCTTAGGACCGCCCAAAAGGGTCCTCGAACCTCGGTGAGGCCAGCGAAGCCAATCCAAAGAAGACGAAAATATTTTGAAAATTAATCTCACCGGAGGCGGAAGAGGTTCAGTGACCGAGGCGTTTATTCTGCGATTCAGCTGAAAAGGATGCGATTGTAGTGATGATTCACATACAAGCATGATTTTACAGAATTTTCCAAGCATTTTATAGAGTTCAGACAAAGGGAAACAGTTTCAAAAATCCCGCCCGCCCTCTGCCGGCCGGCTTCGCTCTGATTGGCTGGCCGCGGAACAGCTGGGAGGAGGCTTGGCGGCACGCCTCGCCTCCTGTCCAATCAGCGGGCTCCGCCGCCTCTGGGAGGCCAATCAGCGCCTTCCTAGCGCCTCGGAAGATGGACCAATCGGCAGCTAGGAGGCGGGACGAAGCCTGACAAAGACTGAGGAAATGACAGCCTTAAGAGCATCCGCCAGCTGGAATGTGAGGCTTTGTCCTCACATGGTGGGGTGTCAGATAGGGGGACAATGAGCTTCCTGGTCTGTGATGGGATTTGTGAGGAAGTATGAAAAAGGCTTTTTGCGATATTGGACCTCAAAGGGGGATCAACAATACCTAAATGATTTAATCAGTCTTTTCTTCCTGAGTTTCTGTTGACCCCCCCTCCCCTCGCTAGTCTGCTCTGAAAGCCAGGATCGGGGGAAGACAACAGCACGGCCCATGCAAATGTAATCAAGAATAGTTTCGGGAGGACAAAGGAGTTCCTCTCCATGACAGTAATCCCCAGGTCACATCTTTTTGGGGCAAGGGTCAAAGGGAAAGGCGGGAAGGGGAGTCATAGTACATTCCATATGATATTTCATTATATGCATTCCATACATTTCATATATTTCATAAAACAATCCCATCCCCATCCCCAGCAAAGTTTATTAAAAATAGTTGATTTATTTTATTATTTGAAGAAATTCATAGTCTCTTGATGAAGGCGCGCGGAAGCTGAGGCTGCTTGTCCTTCAAGGCAAGCCCGGTCTGAAAGTTCATGTCCGAAGATATAGCAGGAAAACAATCCGAGACGTGGGGCAGAAAGTCAATAGGAGAGGGCAAAAGAGTCTGAAGAGGATTTCCGGGTTGCAATTATGAGGCAATGCCCTTTGGAGAACTATGTCTCCCAGGTCAGAGGCAGGAACCCACGCCTGGCTGCCTCCCCGGGACTCCTGTGGGTGGCCACAGTGGGTCCCCGGTTGCTGGATCCAGGCAGGAGTGAGCACCGCTGAGGAGGAACGAACTGTCTGGGAAGAACCCGGCCAAATTGGCAAACAGCTGATTTCTGTCAAAGTAAAATACTTGGAACAAAACAATTTATTCCCGTGTGTAGGAGCCCAAAATGAGAAAAGGGAGATAGCAGTTAGGCTTAGGATTAGTAGCAGAAAAATATAAAATTGAAACGGCGGCGATCCGCCATTTTATGATTTTTCGCGGATAAGGGGGTCTGAAATGGCGGTTTCCGTATCCGCGGTTTGAACGGACGCAGATTCGGGGTCCCGGGGGCACCCGGAGGCGCCTCCCGCGGGCTCACGGCTCTCCAGAGCCCGGAAAAAGGTTTATTTTAGCGTTGTTATAGTCTGAGCCAGGAAAGATAGAAAAGTATCAAGCGGAGAGATAAAAAGTTGCAAGTTTCAAGTACCTTTATTAGGGAAATGATACAAAGTAGGGAGAAGGGGAAAGCAAAGGGAAGTTGCAGGCATTCCTTGTTTTGAGCTGGCTGCTGGGGCACATTTCATCTGTTGGTCCCCAAAACTTGACCCAGGAACTGCGGAACTCTCCGCTGTGGTTCACACCAATGTGAAAGCGGAGCTCCCTGCCGCGCTCGGGCTCAGGAGCAAGCTTGTGTTCTGCTTCCCTGGAGACTAGGACGCAATGTAGCCATGGCTTCAAACTACAAGAGAGGAGATTCCACCTGAACATGAGGAAGAACTTCCTGACTGTGAGAGCCGTTCAGCAGTGGAACTCTCTGCCCCGGAGTGTGGTGGAGGCTCCTTCTTTGGAAGCTTTTAAGCAGAGGCTGGATGGCCATCTGTCAGGGGTGATTTGAATGCAATATTCCTGCTTCTTGGCATGGGGTTGGACTGGATGGCCCATGAGGTCTCTTCCAACTCTTTGATTCTATGATTCTATGAAATCCACACGAAGCATGTGGACAATGTCAACAGAAAGGAGGAAACCATGAAAATGAACACGATCTGGCTACCAGTATTAAAAACCTCTAAAATTAGAAGAGCACAACAACAGAGAGGAAACAAACAAGGACATCTAATCACCTCTCAACAAAGGTTTGCTCCGGGCACCTCCAGCCCATTATATGCTAATGAAGGTGGTCAGTTGACACATCCACACCTGGCTCCAGCAGACAAGAGTCCTTTGTCCCACACTGGTCATTCCACAGATATATAAACCCCTTTTCCTAGTTCCAACGGACCTCACTACCTCCGAGGATACTTGCCACAGATGCAGGCGAAACGTCAGGAAAGAATGCCTCCAGAACATGGCCATTTAGCCCGAAAAAACCTACAATGTGAAAAACCTACCAGTGATTCCGGCCATGAAAGCCTTCGACAATACATTATTATTATTATTATTATTATTATTATTATTATTATTATTATTATTAAAGGCTATCCAGTCTCGCTTCGTTCTCCCTGGCAGGAAAAGGCCCCACTCAAGCCCTCCCAACAGACGGCTGTCCAACCGAATCCTAGATCTTACAAGGTTTATGGAGAAACAAGGCTGTACTCGAGTTGAAGAGACCCCCAAAGGCCATTCTTATTGGTTGCCTTCTTTCTATTGAGGGACTCAGGGAGGACCAAAACAAGCTGAGAAACAGGGCATCCAAGCTTGAGAAGGGGCCTCCAAAGGCCATCCAGCCTAGCCCACACCTTCTGCCAGGCAGGAGAAGCCGAGCCCTTCTTGGCTGACTTCTTTCTCTGCATTTAGGGACTCAAGGGGGCCCAATGCCTCCTAGAATCACAAGGGGTCTCTAAAGGCCATCCAGACACCCTCCAGGCAGGAAAGATCTACAAGCCACTCTAAACACCATCGCAGAAGCATACACGAAGCTTGGCCTGTCACTGAACATTGAGAAAACCAAAGTGCTCTCCCAGCAGGCACCAGCCACCCCCTCTCCAATGCCAGAGAGACAGCTTAATGGTGTCACATTAGAAAATGTGGACCATTTCCGCTCCCTTGGCAGCCACCTCTCCACCAAAGTCAACATAGACACCAAAATACAACACCGCCTGAGCTCTGCGAGTGCAGCATTTTTCCGAATGAAGCAGAGAGTGTTTGAGGACCGGGACATCCGTAGGGATACCAAGGTGCTTGTCTATAAAGCTATTGTCCTCCCAACCCTGCTGAAACGTGGACTGTCTACAGACGTCACATGCAACTCCTGGAACGATTCCATCAGCGCTGCCTCCGAAAAATCCTGCAAATCTCTTGGGAAGACAAGCGGACAAATGTCAGCGTGCTGGAAGAAGCAAAGACCACCAGCATTGAAGCGATGGTCCTCCGCCATCAACTCCGCTGGACCGGCCACGTTGTCTGGATGCCTGACCACCGTCTCCCAAAGCAGTTGCTCTACTCCAAACTCAAGAACGGAAAACGGAATGTTGGTGGACAGGAAAAGAGATTGAAAGACGGCCTTAAAAACTCTGTCATAGACACTGAGAACTGGGAAGCCCTGGCCCTTGAGCACTCCAGCTGGAGGTCAGCTGTGACCAGCAGTGCTGCAGAATTTGAGGAGGCACGAGTGGAGGGTGAAAGAGAGAAACGTGCCAGGAGGAAGGCGCGTCAAGCCAACCCCGGCCGAGACCGCCTTCCACCTGGAAACCAATGCCCCCACTGCAGAAGAAGATGCAGAGCAAGAATAGGGCTCCACAGCCACATGCGGACCCACAAGGAAACCCATAATGGAAGACCATCTTATTTGTCCAATGAGGGATCACCTAAGAAGAAGAAGGCAGGAAAGTCACCACCAAAGCCTTCCCAACAGATGGCCATTCAACCTAATCATACAGTGTGACCTCATTGAGCACAGGGTTAAGAATGGTGGAAGTTGGAGTCCAAAACACCTGGATGGAATCATGTTGTTGTTGTTGTTCATTCGTTCAGTTGTCTCCGACTCTTAGTGACCTCCTGGACCAGCCCACGCCAGAGCTCCCTGTCGGCCGTCACCACCCCCAGGGTCTCCTTCAAGGTCAGTCCAGTCACTTCAAGGATGCCATCCATCCATCTTGCCCTTGGTCGGCCCCTCTTCCTTTTGCCTTCCACTTTCCCCAGCATCATTCCCTTCTCCAGGCTTTGCTGTCTCCTCATGATGTGGCATTCAAAGGACTTCCACTTTGTCTCTAGTCTCCTTCCCTCCAGTGAGCAGTCGGGCTTTCTTTCCTGGAGGATGGACTAGTTGGATCTTCTGGCGGTCCAAGGCACTCTCAGCACTTTCCTCCAGCACCACAGCACAAAAGCATCTAATCCTAGAATCAAAGAGTTGGAAGAGACCCCCTCCTGGGCCATCATCCAGTCCAACCTCCTTCTGCCAAGAAGCAGGAATATTGCATTCAAATCACCCCTGACAGATGGCCATCCAGCCTCTGTTTCAAAGCTTCCAAAGAAGGAGCCTCCACCACACTCCGGGGCAGAGAGTTCCACTGCTGAACAGCTCTCACAGCCAGGAAGTTCTTCCTCGTGTTCAGATGGGTCCAAGTCTGCCCAGGCCTGATGGAGATACTGAAGAGCATTGGGGAGAGGGCTGGGTATAGCCATTTGTCAGGGGTGCTTTGAATGTAATATTCCTGCTTCTTGGCAGAATGGGGTTGGACTGGATGGCCCACCAGGTCGCTTCCAACTCGAGGATTCTATGTTCAGCAGTGGAACTCTCTGCCCCGGAGGGAGTGTGTGGAGGCTCCTTCTTTGGAGGCTTTGAAACAGAGGCTGGATGGCCATCTGTCAGGGGTGATTTGAATGCAATATTCCTGCTTCTTGGCACAATGGGGGTGGACTGGAGGATGGCCCAGGAGGTCTCTTCCAACTCTTTGATTCTATGAGGCTGGATGGCCATCTGTCAGGGGTGATTTAACTGCAATGTTCCTGCTTCTTGGCAGAATGGGGGTGGACTGGAGGAGGATGGCCCAGGAGGAGGTCTCTTCCAACTCTTCTAGGATTCTATAGCTAGCTATCCCTCCTCCTGGCGACATGGCATGGCCATCTGCGGGGTGGGATCTCCCTCCCAGAAGGGGCCTCCCTCCCTCCCTCCCCTCCCTGGCTGAGGAGGCCTTTGTTTGCGTCACGTGGGCAGGAGCGGTGGGCGTAGACTGGGGATGTCCCCTCTCGGGCCGCCGTAGGGGGCGCCGTGGCGCGGAGCGGAGCATGCGCAGAAGAGGCCGAATGGAAAAGGGCGGGATATAGGAAAACGGTTCGGCGGGGACTTCCGGTCCTGCGCAGTGCGCGCCGAGGGAGAGAAGAAGAGGAACTGGCCGCGGCGGGAAGGAGGCGACGACGACGGTGAGCCAAGCAGGAAGGCAGGGAGGGGTGCCTTGGACTCCAACTCCCAGCATTCCTCAGGACCTTTCCTTAAGGGGCTGAGGGGGGAAAGGAAAGGGCCTGAGTACCCTGAGGAATGCTGGGAGTTGGAGTCCAAAACACTTGAGGGAAGAAGGCCCCAGCTGGCCTAGTCCAGGCTCCCTCCAAATGCGGCCCTCCAGCTGTTTGGGCCTCCCACTCCCACCATTCCTGACCATTGGGCAAGCTCATTAGGGAAGGGAGTTGTAGTCCCTAATGAGCTTGTCCAATGGTCAGGAATGGTGGGAGTGGGAGGCCCAAACAGCTGGAGGGTGCCTGGCCTAGTCCCACCCAAGGCCTTAGTAGTACTACTTAACTAATTAGTTAATTATTCAAACTTATATGCAGCCACTCCCTTCCCTGGTGCTCGGAGCGGCTTACAAGAATGGCAAAAATCAAACACAATTTAAAAACAATTTAAAAACAGCGATATCAAACATTAAAAGCCTGTCGAAACAGGTATGTCTTCCATGCCCTGCGGAAAGCTGGTAAGTCCCGCAAGGCCCGGACTTCAGGTGGCAGAGTATTCCAGAGCGATGGTGCCACTGCTGTGAAGGCTCTGCGCCTGGTTGCTGTTAGACGCAAGGTCTTGACACTGGGAATTTCCAAGAGATCTTGGTCCTCAGAGCGGAGGGATCTCTGGGGTTGGGAGAGGGTGAGGCGGTCCCTCAGGTACATTGGCCCCAGACTATGCAAGGCCTTAAAGGTGAGTACCATCCCTTTGAAGGTGATCCGGTGCTCAATGGGTAACCAACGCAGCTGCAGGAAGATTGGGGTGATGTGGCATCTCGTCGGAATTCCCGCAAGAAGCCGAGCAGCTGCCTTTTGGACCAACTTGAGCTTCCGGATCACCAACAGAGGAAGGCCAATGTAGAGGGCGTTGCAGTAGTCCAGTCTGGAGATGACCGTGGCCTGGATCACCGTAGCCCCTGGACAGGGAGGGGGCCAGCCGTCTAGCCTGCCGCAGGTGGAAGAAAGAAGGCGGTTCTGCTCACGGCGGAGAGAGACCTGGGCCTCCATTGTCAGCAGAGGGTCCAAAAGGACTCCCAGACTCTTGACCAATGATGACGGGCGTAACGCCTCGCCATCCAGGGTGGGCAGATGGATGTCCCCACTGCCCGGTCCACCCAGCCATAGGATCTCCATCTTTGCTGGATTCACCCTCAACCTGCTGGCACGCAGCCATCCAGTCACGGCCTCGAGGCACTGATGGAAACAATCGGGTACAGAGTCCGGTCGGCCTTCCATCTTCAGCACCAGCTGAGTGTCATCGGCATACTGATAACACTCCAGCCCAAAACCTCGGACCAACTGAGCAAGTGGTCGCATATAGATGTTAAACAACAGAGGGGAGAGAATGGCCCCCTGAGGAGGAACCCCACAAGATAGAGGGGACCTCTCGGAGACCAGGCCTCCCCTCTCCACTCGCTGTCCACGGCTGTGAAGAAAGGAGGACAGCCAATTACTTACTTACTTAACTTAGGCGATCCCTCATTGTCCTCTTGGCACGTTTCTCTTTCACCCTCCATTTGTGCCTCTTCAAATTCCGCAGCACTGCTGGTCACAGACGACTTCCAACTGGAGTGCTCAAGGGCCCAGGCTTCCCATGTCTCCGTGTCTATGCCAGAGTTTTTAAGGTTGGCTTTGGGCCCATCTTTCAATCTCTTTTCCTGTCCTCCAACATTCCATTTTCCATTCTTGAGTTCGGAGTAGGGCAACTGCTTTGGGAGACAGTGGTCGGGCATCCAGACAACGTGGCCAGTCCAGCGGAGTTGATGGCGGAGGAGCATCACTTCTTTGCTTCTTCCAGCACACTGACCTTTGTCCGTTTGTCTTCATAAGAGATTTGCAGAATTTTTCAGAGGCAATGCTGATGGAATCGTTCCAGGAGTTGCATGTGACGTCAGTTGCATGAGACAGTCCACGTCTCGCAGGCACAGAGCAGGGTCTGGAGGACAGTAGCTTTATAAACAAGCACCTTGCTATCCCTACGGATGTCCCGGTCCTCAAACACTCTCTGCTTCATTTGGAATGCTGCACTCGCAGAGCTCAGGCGGTGTTGTATTTCAGTGTCAATGTTGACTTCTGTGGAGAGGTGGCTGCCAAGGAAGCAGAAATGGTCCACATTTTCTAATGTTACACCATTAAGCTGTATTTCTGGCATTGGAGAGGGATTGACTGCTGGAACAGCACTTTGGTTTTCTCGATGTTCAATGAGATTGTGTGTACGAACCCACACAATCTCTTCGATCATCTGGAGAGGCCCTGCTCGCTCTCCCACCTCCATCGCAGGCGCAATTGATGGGGACGAGGGAGAGGGCCTTTTCGGTGGTGGCCCCCAGACTCTGGAACTCACCCCCCAAGGACATCAGGCATGCCCCAACTCTGACAGTTTTCAGGAGGAGCCTGAAAACATGGTTGTTCCAGTGTGCCTTCCCAGAATAAGGAAACTCCCAGCAATATGTCCCTAAATGCACTTTATTAGTGATCTAGGATTGTCTGCATGCCCCATCCTAGTTGTATTTCACCTGGTCATGCTCAGCATTATTTTTAAAATTTTAACTATTACATTTGTCCCAATCATAGGTTTTTTAAATGTTGTTGTGTTATTGTTCATGTTTACTGCTTATTTTCTGTTTATGAGTTTTATTTGATTGTTTTGTATTACTGTTGTTGTTGTTTTTTGCTGATGTATTGTGGGCTCGGCCTCATGTAAGCCGCAGCGAGTCCCTTGGGGAAATTGTAGCGGGGTACAAATAAAGTTTTATTATTATTGTTATTATAATGAGAGACTGAGCTTCTTGTATGCTTCGTGTGCGTTAGTACTCCTAATGTTGCTCTTCTCCTTCCTTCCCTTCAGGGATGACAGGGAGGCTCCGCTCTGCTTGCTGTGCACCCTGAGGCCTGCCCCGACCTCTCCCTCCGGCCATGGCTCACGCCACCACCGACTCGGCCATCGCCGTCATCCCCTCCTCCTCCTCGGACAGCAGCAGCTGCCTCATTCTGGACGACGACGAGGAGGAGGAGGAAGGAGAAAGAAGACCACAAGAAGGAGGAGGAGAGGCCTCAAAGGGTCCCCATGATGCTGGTGCTGCTGCGAAACCAGAGGGGCTTCGCCCTGCCCCACACCCCCAGGCCAATGGCCGGCCCCCCTCCTCCTCCACTGCCGCCCCCACCGGCCTCCGGGTTGAGAACGAGCAGCTCTTCTCAGAGGTCAGTCTCCGCAGGAAGGGTGGCAGAGCCACGCTGGGTATCCAATCGCAATAATAATAATAATAATCTTTATAACCCGCCACCATCTCCGCAAAGGAGACTCGGGGCGGCTAACATGAGGCCAAGCCCAAAATAATACAACATAATAAACACACAATAACAAAATACATCGTAATTGATATTATAATTATATATTTATATTACACTCGTGGTCCCCTGCCAGGCGTTGCTGTGGCCCAGTCTGGTGATCTGGAAAATAAAATAATTAGAAAGTGCTGGTTTCTAATATACGTAATGTCTTGATGCTTGTGGGTAAACAATATTTCTTGATGTTTCTTTGACAGTGTTGACGTGAGATTGTCTGGTTTGCCTACTCTGGAACATGCAACATATCATTGTCCATCTTTAGGAGTCCCTTTCAAATCTATAATACTTTCTCTCTGTGTGTGTGAATCATATATATCTATCTATATCTATGGCTCTCTGTCAGGAGGACTTTGATTACGTCTTCTTGCCCTGGTGAAGGGAGTTGGACTGGATGGCGTTAAGTATTTTCTGTTGGTCAAGGTCTATTTCCCCCCAAACTCAATCTGTGTTTATATTTGGGCATATGGAATATTCGTGCCAAGTTTGGTCCAGATCCATCATTGTTTGAGTCCACAGTGCTCTCTGGATGTAGGTGAACTACAACTCCCAAACTCAAGTCAATGCCCACCAAACTCTTTTCTGTTGGTCAAGGGAGTTCTGTGTGCCAAGTTTGGTTCAATTCCATCATTGGAGTTCAGAATGCTCTTTGATTCTAGGTGAACTATAAATCCCAGCAGCTACAACTCCCAAATGACAAAATCATAATTTTTCGAGTGATGGTCACTCTTTGTCTTGTGAGATGTTTTGTTGCCAAATTTGGTGTGATTTCGTTCATTGGTTCTTTCGTTTTTAAGGTACTCATTATGCACAGAATATTTATATATATATAGATATGTCCATGGCAGGATATTATTAATTAGAGTTCTCAGTGATTTTAATTTTTAACAAACAAACAAACAAAACACGAAGTTTGCAAGCTTGGTAGTTGATTAAATGTCCTTTGACCAGTATCTGGCCACTTGGAGTGCCTCTGGTGTTGCCGCAAGGAGGTCCTCCCTTGTGCATGTGGCAGGGCTCAGGTTGCATCGCAGCAGGTGGTCAGTGGTTTGCTCTTCTCCACACTCGCATGTTGTGGATTCCACTTTGTGGCCCCATTTCTTGAGGTTGGCTCTGCATCTCGTGGTGCCAGAGCGCAGTCTGTTCAGCGCCTTCCAAGTTGCCCAGTCCTTCTGTGTGCCCAGGGGGGAGTCTCTCATTTGGTATCAGCCATTGGTTGAGGTTCGGGTTTGAGCCTGCCACTTTTGGACTCTCGCTTGCTGAGGTGTTCCAGTGAGTGTCTCTGTAGATCTTGGAAAACTATGTCTGGATTTAAGTTGTTGACGTGCTGGCTGATACCCAAACAAGGGATGAGCTGGAGATGTCTCTGCCTTGGTCTTCCCATAATATATCTTCAAACCCAGTAGGGAAGGGAAAAGATATTCCGCAAAAAGGTGAAGACCTGGCTGTTTGAGCAGGCGTTCGAATAATTAGTGCAATGATTGGTTAATGAACACTGGAATGGAACAATGGATGACGAATCTGGAACATGTTTTTGATGACGAGACGACAGTGAATGGGTATTGTAGTAACTGTTTATTAATTGTGTAATGTGTTAGGTTGTTAACTGTTTCTATACTGTAGCACTGAATTTTTGCTGTTCGTATTTGTTGTGAACCGCTGTGAGTCGCCTTCGGGCTGAGAACAGCGGTATATAGAAGTAAGGTAAATAAATAATAAATAAATAAGATCCTTTCTTTGATATCTCTCCACTGTCACCAATTCAGGCCAGTAACTTACACCAGTTCTCTTCTGGGATTTTGCTGGGACTCCTCTGGGTTTCTCTTTAAACCTTACTCAATGTTTTGCGACACAGTCTTCGTACGCAACTCCACGTTAACTGAGTTTATTTATAGATGTCTTGCACAAAAGTTTGTGGGTTGCATTTGTATTTTAGCGTCTTAGTTGAATATAACATTGTTTCAGGACAACTCTCTTCCTTAGGACTTTTTACACAAGATTCACTTGTTAACCATGTAATAGCAAACTTTCAACGGTTCTCCACTCTCTATCTTGTCTATTTCCTTAAATACCCTGACTTAACTCATTCTCTGACCTATATTCACGGACCCCTCACTTATCCTCATCCGGGTTGTTGTAGGTTTTCCGGGCTATATGGCCATGGTCTAGAGGCATTTTCTCCTGATGTTTCGCCTGCATCTATGGCAAGCATCCTCAGAGGTTGGGAGGTCTGTTGGAAGTAGGAAAAGGGGTTTATATATTCACTCATTATCACAGAGAATACAGGAGAACTTATGAGTTATTTTGGAAAGCATTCCAACATGATGAGCATAATGTTTGTTACGTCTGTAAGCCATGTCTAAATGTATTTGTTTGTTTCACGTGTTTTTTACTTATAAATAATACTTATTTATTTATTATTTATTTACTTCGCTTATATACCGCAATTCTCAGCCTACTGGCGACTCATTGCGGTGTACAACATAGAAAAAACAGGTGCAAAATACAAACATAGTGTAAAATAATCCGCAGTACAGCATTATCAAAACATCTCATCAAAAACATCAACATTACTACAAGCCATTCCGAGTCGTCTCATCGTCAAGTTCACAATCCGATACCATTTCCGTTGTTCCATTCCTATGGTCAAGTTACCAGTCATTGCACTTCTATTCAAATGCCTTCTTAAATAGCCAGGTCTTTAGCTTCCTGCGGAATATCAACAGGGAGGGGGCTAGCCTGATGTCCACGGGAAGGGTGTTCCACAGCCGAGGAGCCACCACCGAGAAGGCCCTATCTCTCGTCCGCACCAGCCGTGCCTGTGAAGCAGGCGGGATCGAGAGCAGGGCCTCCCCGGAAGATCTCAAAGTCCTCGTGGGATCATAGGTCGAGAGGCGGTCAGTTAGGTATCTTGGGCCGGAACCGTTTAGGGCTTTATAGGCCAAAGCCAGCACCTTGAATTGAGCCCGGTAGCAGATCGGCAGCCAGTGGAGCTGGTACAGAAGGGGGGTTGTATGCTCCCTGCGTCCCGCTCCTGTTAATATCATGGCTGCCGTACGTTGGACCAATTGGAGCTTCCGAGCCGTCTTCAAGGGCAACCCCACGTAGAGAGCGTTGCAGTAGTCTAAACGGGATGTAAGCAGAGCGTAGACTACCGTGGCCAAGTCAGATTATGTATATATTTTTATTTTGAACTTCGTATCATTATAATTAAGAATACAATAAGAGGACAACTTTGTATTAACACTAGTTTTGTGAAGGGTCCCATTAGCAGTACACAGATGGGCGCCGACTCCCATCGCTCAGGGTCAGTACCCCTCAGACTCCACCAGCATTTTATGTGGGTCGCGAAGGGCGTGCCTTCCAAGTGTGGGTCAGCTCCAACGCGGTTGGGGTTCACAGCTCTCTCCAGATGTGGGCAAACTACAACCCCCATCATCCTCTATTGGCTTCTCCCCCAAAAAACTCTGAAAGATCAACACTTACTTTTATTGTAGCCTCAGATCAAAGAGTAGAGACACAAAAGGAAGTCTCCCCACCCCTAGCTTTGGATGAAGGGTCCCTTATGCTGACTCTCAGGTCTGTGTTTATGGCCTCCAGAGGCAGAGAGGGGCCTCATGGGTCTCTCTTCTCCTCCGACAAAAGGCGCCCGAGAAGAGGCTTCTGGGGGGGAAATGCCCACTTTACATGGAGGCGGAGTGTGGTGGAGGCTCCTTCTTTGGAAGCTTTTAAACAGAGGCTGGATGGCCATCTGTTGGCGGTGCTTTGAATGCGATTGTCCTGCATATTGCCAGAATGGGGTTGGACTGGATGATGGCCCATGAAGTCTCTTCCAACTCTAGGATTCTATGACAGTCTTCTCACTTCCTGTTGTTTCAGTCCTGTTCTTAACTCTGAGTCCTTTGTAAGTCAGATGTTTGTTACTCGGGGACGGCCCGTGTTGGCATGTTCTGCCCTTTCAGGCTTGAGCAGGATGCTTGTCCTTTCCAGGGAGCCCTCCCAGCGCGGCCAGAGTCTGGCAGCGTCACGTTAATTACGATTACGCTTTGTAATTAGAGCCATTCCGCACCACTCGAATGGCAGTGGCTCAATGCTGTGGAATCATGGGAGGCGTAGTCTTTCCGGTTCTTTGGCCTCCTCCGCCAAAGAGGGCTGGCGCCTCGCCAAAGTGTGTATCCCGGGATCTCATGGCATGGAGCCAGGGCAGACCAAGGGCCAAACCGCATTAATTCTACAGTGGAGACATCATATATTGTCCCCACTTTAGTCACCTTGGCTTCTAAGGAGAGTTTCTGCTCAGAAGGCGTCCTCACAGTTTCTACTTCCAATTCCCAAAACACCTCCAGATGCTCTTACCTGCTTCACCTTCCCCACCACCTTCCCAAACTCCCCCCTTCGTCCTCGTGGCAGGGTAAACAGAGCAGCCACGTCCTCTCATGACAGTAGTTTGCACCGCTTCTAGTGCTACAAGCCTCTTTGAGTCTCATTCAAGAAGGGAAAGCATATCAATATACCTCCCGTCTCTCTGTGTCTCTCTCTCTGGCAGCATTGGGACCTCCGAGTTCTCTCCCTGGAGCCCCCTCCCCACCTTGTCTCCATGGCAACTCTCTTTCTTTCCTTTCCCCCCTTTCCCTCCCTCCCTCAGCCTCTTTCTCCTCTTTGTGCTTTGCTTCTTCCCTTGCTTTCCCTGATACACCTCCCTTCTTTCTCTTCCTTTCCTTCCCTCCTTTTTCTTTCTTCCCCTTCCCTTTGCCATTCCTTTATTTCCCTTCTTTTCCTCTTTACTTCCTTACTTTTCCCTCTTGTACCTTCTCCCTCTCTTTTCTTCCTTGCTTTCCTTCTTCCTTTGCTTTCCCTGATATACATTCCCATTTCCTTTTCCTCCTCCCATTCCTCCTTCTTCTTTCTTTCTTCCTTTCCCTTCTTTCTCTCTTTCCCCCTTTCCCTCTCCTTTCTGCCTTCCTTTCCTTTTCCTCTCTTTCTTTCAATTCCTTCCTCCCCTCCTTTCTCTCTCTCCTTCTGATGAGCCGGTACTCGGAGCTGGGGCCTCCGACGTTCTCTCCATACTTTCACGGCGTCTCTCCTCTTAACGTCCTTACCTCATTTCATCTAACCTACTGCCCGTAACCTTATTTGCTCTTCTTACGAGGAGTCCAGCTATACTTTCACTGCTGTGTCGCATGCACAGCACCTAATCTGTAATTCTAGTCCGCCACTGTACTCGTGCATTTCTCCTCTACAGTTCCTTCCCTTCCTTCCTTCTTCCTTTCTTCCTTCCTTCCCTTTCTCTCTTGCTTCCTTCCTTCACCTCTTTTTTCCCTTCTTCCTTCCTTCACTTCCTTCCTTCCTTCCTTCCTTCCTTCCTTCCTTCCTTCCTTTCTTTCCTTCCTTCCTTCCTTCCTCCTTTCCTCCCTTCATTCCTTTACTTCTGTCTTTCCTTCCTGCCATCCTCCCACTATCCATCCATCCCTTCATCCATTAATCACTTCCTTCCTTCATCTCTCTCTCTTTCCTTCCTTCCTGCCCTCCTTTCTCTTTGCCTCCTCTCCTTCCCTCCCTCCCTTTCTCTTTCTCTCTTTTCCCCTACTCCTTTCGCTCCTTTCTCTTTCTGACACAGGGAGGGAGGGTCAGGACACTGTGTGTGTGTGTGTGTGCCTGGGTGTGTGTGTGTTCTGTCCCAATTGACTCCTTCCTTTCTTTCTTTTGGGGTTCCTGCAGTTTGTGGCCTTCTGCACGCAGCACACGGCGGACCACCCGGAGGTGATGCCTTACCTGACGGCCCGGCACCAGAAGGCGGAGGGGTCCTTCCTGGCCTCGGTGGAGTTCCGCAACATCCTGGGCCGCTGCCTGAGCAAGGTCCAGTCCCGCCGCAGCAAGGTCTACGTCTACATCAACGAGCTCTGCACGGTCTTCAAGGCCCACTCCCAGCGCAGGAGGGTCCCCGTCACGACGGAGGGGGGCTCCGCCACTGAGGCCCCGCCCCCTGAAGGCCCCTGCCCCACGGAGGAAGGCCCCTCTGCCCTCGGCGCGACCCCCTCGGAGCCCCCCAAGGCCCCCTCCAGCTCCCGGCGGCAGATCCGGTACCTGGAGAACCTGCTGCGCCTCTACGCGGGGGAGATCCGGCGACTTCAGGAGCGGGAGCTGGACCTGGACGACCTGAACCAGGAGGACTCGGCCTACCTGCAGGAGGGGCGGCTCAAGCGGCGCATGATGCTGATCTTCCGGCGGCTGTGCGCCCTCAAGGACTGCAACGGCCTCACCGGGAGGGTCATCGAGCAGCGCATCCCCTACCGCGGCACCCGCTACCCGGAGGTCAACCGGCGCATCGAGCGGCTCATCAACCGCGAGACGGAGGCCTTCCCCGACTACGCCGACATCCTCAAGGCCGTGCAGAAGGCCAGCGCTCGGCACAGCCTGGGCCTCCCCAAGAAGCAGATGCAGAGCATGGCCGCCGACGCCTTCCGGGAGGTGGGCAACCGGCTGCAGGAGCGCAGGCACCTCGACCTCATCTACAATTTCGGCAGCCACCTCACCGATGAATACAGGCCTGGTGAGTATGCGGGGTCCGGAAGGCGAGGAATCGTAGAGCTGGAGGAGACCACCAGGGCCACTTAGTCCATCCCCCTCCTGCCATGCAGGAAAAACACAATCAAAGCACCCCCCCCCCCCCCCCCGACAGATGGCCATGCAGTTGGGAGCCCCTTCCCCCAGCCCCAACCACTGCTCTGGGGCCAGAGTGAAGAAGGGGAGCCAGAAAGACATATTGGGAGCCCCTCTATTTATATCTTCTTGAAGGAGCTGGGCGTGGTGATGGCTGACAGGGAGCTCTGGCATCAGTTGGTCCATGAGGTCATGAAGTGTCAAAAGTGACTGAACAAATAAACAATAATATATATATATATAATATTGTACTATGCTAATAATATAATATGTTGCATATACATGGAAATGGGCCTCGGGGGCACTGTTCTGCAGTGGCTCCGGTCATTTCTGGAGGGCCGCACCCAGAAGGTGTTATTGGGGGACACCTGTTCAACGCCACAGCCTTTGACTTGTGGGGTTCCACAGGGCTCTATACTGTCCCCCATGCTGTTTAATATCTACATGAAGCCGCTGGGTGAGATCATCCGGAGTTTCGGGGTGTCATCTGTACGCGGATGACGTCCAACTCTGTCACTCCTTCCCACCCACTACTAAGGAGGCTGACCAGGTCCTGAATCGGTGCTTGGCTACTGTGACGATCTGGATGAGGGCGAACAAATTGAAATTGAATCCAGACAAGACAGAGGTACTCCTGGTCAGTCGCAAGGCCGAACAGGGCATAGGGTTACAGCCTGTGCTGGATGGGGTCGCACTCCCCCTGAAGGCGCAGGTTCGCAGCTTGGGTGTGATCCTGGATTCATCGTTGAGCCTGGAGCCCCAGGTTTCAGCGGTGACCAGGGGAGCATTTGCACAGCTTAGGCTCGTGCGCCAGCTGCGCCCGTACCTTGGGAAGTCTGACTTGGCCACGGTAGTACACGCTCTGGTCACATCCCGCCTTGACTACTGCAACGCTCTCTATGTGGGGCTGCCCTTGAAGACGGCCCAGAAGCTTCAGCTAGTTCAGCGCGCGGCAGCCATGTTACTAACAGGAGCGGGACGCAGGGAGCACACAACGCCCTTGTTGTTCCAGCTCCACTGGCTGCCGATCTGCTACCGGGCCCAATTCAAGGTGCTGGTGTTGGCCTACAAAGCCCTAAACAGTTCCGGCCCAAAATACCTGTCTGACCGCATCTCGGCCTATGAGCCCACGAGGACTTTGAGATCGTCCGGGGAGGCCCTTCTCTCGATCCCGCCTGCCTCACAGGCACGCCTGGCGGGGACGAGGGATAGGGCCTTCTCGGTGGTGGCCCCCCGGCTATGGAACACCCTCCCTGTAGACATCAGACAGGCGCCCTCCCTTATGACATTCCGCAAGAGACTAAAGACGTGGTTGTTTGAGAAGGCGTTTGACTAAGTGCTACAACAATTGGCAATGATGATTGGAACGGAATATGGATAACGAGATTGGATTCTGATTCTATGATGAGACGTCGCGAATGATTTAGTGTAATTGTATTATTGATAGTGATGTTGTTATTGTTGTTTGTGATATTGCCTTTATTGTAAATTGTTTTTATATGTTGTACACCGCCGTGAGTCGCCCTAGGGCTGAGAACGGCGGTCTACAAGTGCAGTAAATAAATAAATAAATAAATAAATAAATAATTCATATACAGTATATAAATAAATATTGTGACATACACATTTAAGAATTATATATTTTATATTACATGTAATATTACTAATAACCTTACAGTATAGTGGTGTAGTACAATATAGTAATATATAATACTAATATTGTGCTGTGCTAATAATATAATATATTGACAGAATAGTGATAATAATGTAATACAATACAATATAATGCTAATAATAATACAATATAATAATTATATATTATATTACATGTAATATTACTAATAATATTACAGTATAGTGGTATAGTACAATATAGTACTATATGATGTTAATATTGTGCTATGCTAATAATATAATATATTGTATATACCTATAATATGGATAATAATATTATAATGTAATACAGTATAAAACTAATAATAATTCACTATAATAATTATAAAATTTATATTATATGTAATATTACTAATAATATTGCAGTATAGTGGTATAGTACAATATAGTACTATATGATGTTACTATTGTGCTATGCTAATAATATAATATATGTACACATAATATAGATCAAAATATGGTAATACAATATAATAACAATATATTATATATTTCATGTGATATTACTAATAATATTTCAATATTGTACTATGCTAATAATATAATATATTGTGTGTAAATATAACTTGTAAGCCGCTCTGAGTCCCCTTCGGGGTGAGAAAGGTGGGATACAATTGTCATCTATATAAATAAAAATGTAATGTTTGTTTGCGGGATTCACATAACTCCAAAACCACTGGATGAATTGACACCAAATTTGGACACAAGACACCTCTCAGGCCAACGAGTGACTGTCACTCATGAAAACACTGAAAAACACAGCAGAAGAGACTTAAAAAGCCAAAAAACAAAAATACATCACAACACATGCACAAAACCACATATATACGCAAACACACATATATACGCATATGCACAAATATATACACACATAAAGCACATATACACAGACTGGACCACAGCAACGCATGGCAGCGGATGGCTAGCAAATAAATACAGATTCTGTTTCAAAGCCACCAAAGAAGACTTTGAGGCAGAGAGTTCCAATGTTGAACGCCTCTTTTTACAGCCAGGAAGTCCTTCCTAATGTTCAGGTGGAATTTCCTTTCCTGTAATTGGAACCCATGGCTCCGTTGAGTCCTTTTCTGTAGGGCATATTTATACATGGCTTTCATGTCTCCTCCCAGCCTTCTTCTCAGAGGGATTATTCATGGTCTCCAGGGCTTTGATGTCTATGAATGGCAGGCAGTGGGGTCAGTTCCTTAAGGCCACTCTTCAAGGACTTCATAGCCGTGGTGGAGACTCCTTCTATGGAGGCTTTTAAGCAGAGGCTGGATGGCTATCTGTTGGGGGTGCTTTGAATGCAGTTTTCCTGCTTCTTGGCAAACTCTAGGATTCTATGATGTCTTTCTGTCTTTTCGTAAGGTAATGATAGGCAAGGAAGGGGGAGGAAAATGATTTCGGCATCTTAGTAGGCCAACAGCTGGGCATGAGCCAACAGCATGATGCAGCAGCTTAAAAAGCCAATGCGATTCTAGGCTGTATCCATAGAAGCACAGTATCAAGATGGAGGGCAGTCTTTCTTCTTCTCCCACTGTCTTCTGCTTTGGCCAGACCTTCTTACCTGGGATAACCGGTTCTGTGCACCACCATTCAAGGTACGAATATTGACAAGCCAGAACGTGTCCAGAGAAGGGTAGCCAAGACTTGGAAGATTTGGAAGCCAAGGCCAATGAGGAGGGAAGGCAGGGGGGTGTTTCCCTTGGAGAAGCAAAGGGGGTGCCGTGGGAGCCGTGTCTCAATATCTGGAAGGAGCTCCCATTGAGCAGGAGGAGGAGGAGGAGGAGGAGGAAGGGGCAGGGTCCCATTGTGCTGCTCTGGAGACTGGGACACAGGTGGAGCCTTGGGTTCAAACAGAAAAGAGATTCCTGGGCAACCTTCGGCTCTCCCGGAGAGCCAAAGTTGGCCTGTGCCTGTGTAAGACAGAAGACTAAGCTGCCCAGGAGTCCAGTGAGGTCTTCTTTGTTGGGGGAGTGGGCTTATTAACACCCTCCCCATGAATGTATAGCAGAGTCACTTAGCAGCAGCAGCGTGACCCAGCACCAGCACCCCAAAATGATCAAAAGAAGACACAGATGGAGCAATGTTATATCTGCCATAGAGGGCTTTTCTTTATAGTCAAATAATATGGTTACACTACAAGATTTCCATAACACAAATAAAGTTCTTTATACTTCCTTCTTTGCTTCCAGACTGAGCTTCTTTCTCATGCAGATAAACAGCTGCATCCTCACGGAGTCTCTTCTTACACCGAAATTATGCAGGAGCTTCACACAGAAGCTTTTTACACACAGCAGCCTTCACACACGATGGTTTCAACTTGGGGCTCCTCTCACGGAAGCTTCTCACACCAGGCTTTCTCATACTAAGGTCTACCTCACATTGAGGCCTTCTCACACTGAGGTCTCTCTCAGACTGACACCTTTCTCCCACTGAGGCAAACTCATACTGAGGCCTACTAGCACACTGAGGCTCTTCTCCCACAGAAACCTCTCAGAGACTGAGGACAACTAAGCCACAGGCACACCTGCTTATATTGAAGTCATCTGTCGGGGGTGATTTGAATGCAATATTCCTTCTTCTTGGCAGAGTTGGACTGGATGTCCCAGGAGGTCTCTTCCAACACTTTGATTCTAGGATTCTAAGTGCAGCTTTTGCTGAATCATTGCATCCATTTAACCCTTTCAGTGCTTGACTCACATTTTTGTAATTAAAAACACCTCATTAATATTTAATATTTCAGACATCTTTCTCTGGAGGTTTCTCAGCAGTGGCCAGATGGACATTCCTTCTTGGCAGAAGCGGGGGGTGGACGGGGGTGGACTGGGTCACCTCCAACCCTAGGATTCTATGAACCTATGTGAGGACGGGCAGGCCTAGTGGGTTGGGTGGGGAATAGGGGAGGTTTCTCACCCTGACAGTTCCTCCCTCCTTGTTTTGTCTTGGGCCTCAGTTTGTTAGTAGGTCTCAGTTTGAGAAGGCCTCAGTGTGAGAAGGCTTCAGTCTGAGAGAGTCCTTAGTTTGTGGAAGCCCTCAGTGGGAGAAAGGCCTTAGTATGTGAGAGCCCTCGGTGAGAGGTAGACCTCAGTGAGAAGTAGGCCTCGGTGTGAGTAGGCTTGGTATATGAGAAGCTTTGGAGAGAGAAGCCCCAGTTTGAAGGCCATCATGTGTGAAGGCTGCTGTGTATAAAGCTACTGTGTACAACTCCTGTGTAACTTTGGTGTGAGAGGAAGCTCTGTGAGAGTGAGGTTGTTTATCTGCATGAGAAAGAAGCCCAGCGTGGAATCAAAGAAGGAAGTATAAAGAACTTTGTCTGTGTTATGGAAATTTCTTTTCTGGTAAATAATGCAACCATATTATTTTGCTATAAAGAAAAGACTCCTATGGAAGAGAGAACCACTCACCCAAAAAAGGGCCTCCTTATGTAGAACTTTTTGCTGCTTTTTGACAACTTGTCCTTCAGCGAAGACTTGCTGAAGCTCCCCCCATTCCAGAACAGATGTTGCTTAACTTTCTCAACATAAGGAGGCATTGTCTCTTGGCTACATAACCACATGTTGTTTACACCAAAAGTTCCCCGGTCAGTTCTCATCAGTTCTGCACTTTTCATGCCAAAGTTAAGCCAGTTCAACCTCCTCCGTGATGCCAGTGGTTTTCATTTTAGGGTGGTGTCTTCTGTCTTGCCAGGCCTTAGCCCAGGCGTGGGCAAATTTTGTGTTGCACTCCAGAGTAAAAACAGGACCCTCTAATCATTAATTACACCACACCTTGGATGAAAAAAGAGTCATCTTTATTTGAAGAATCATTGAAGTCAATGAAAGAGATGAATATAAAGTTGATCAAAGTCCAAAAGCAAAAAGTCAAATAAGCAGTAACATAAACAGTGTCCAAACATAGGAATAATATCAAAGAAAAAATATTTAAACTAAGCAGTACTTACTTACTTAGGCGATTCCTCGTTGGCCGAGTAGGATAGTCTTCCAGGATCAGTATTCTTGTGGGTCTGTAGGTGGCTGTGGAGCCCTATTCTTCATCTGCATCTTGCTGTTTAAATCCAGATGCAAAGAAATGTCAAATGCCTTCTATAAAAACCATGAACATAGCCACTGCTAACCCACTTGAAAAGCCAGGGAACCTAGGAGACGAGGCCACAAGAATATACAAAAGACCTGACTTGAGACCAAACGATGCCTGGTCTGAAGGACATTCCCTAAGAGCTCAATTTAAGTCCCAGAAACTGATTTCTACTCCCCCCAGTCTTTGACCTTAATTGCCGAATTCTTTCTGATCTGCGTAAACATTGGGCCTCTCTACGGTCCTGGCTAATTTCCAGCCGGTGACTGGTCTTATCTATCTCTTCATAATGCTATATGTTTATCATCTATTATTTTGATTGCTTGTATTGTTGTGATTATTTCTTGTATTGTTGTGTTTGGGCTCAGTCTCACGCAAGCCGCACCGAGTCCCTTGGGGAGACCGGGATTGTGGCGCAGCGGGCTGAGTGTCAGCTGCATTAAGATCACTCTGACCAAATGGTCATGAGTTCGAAGCCAGCCCGGGTTGGAGTGGGTTTCTAACCAATTATGTAGCCTGTTGTCGACTTTTGCAACCCGAAAGACAGTTGCATCTGTCAAGTAGGAAAATTAGGTACCACCTCGTGTGGGGAGGCTAAATTAACTAATTTCATAAAAAAGACTCCAGCAAAGCACTCCAGCAAAAGCATGCGGGGAATGTGGAACTACTTCATCAGTGTCGCAGATGGACGATGAAAGCGACAGCTCCCCGGCAGCCAGAAAAAGTTAAATAGCCTCTGTGTATGTATACGTTGTATGTCAAATTGGCATTGAATGTTTGCCATGTATGTGTACAATGTAATCCGCCCTGAGTCCCCTGCGGAGTGCGAAGAAGGGTGGAATATAAATACTGTAAATAATAATAATAATAATAATAATAATAATAATAATAATAATAATAATAGCGGGGTACAAATAAAGTGTTATTGTTATTATTATTATTATTATTATTATTATTATTATTATTATTATTATTATCTGCAGGCGTGAAACTTATCTTGCAGACTCAAGCCTGGAGAAGGGAGTGAACTTTGCAGCAAACTCGAGCCTGGAATTTTCTCATGAGAACTTAGCCTTTCCCCCAACTCTTCTCGATCAGAGTCTGTAGTAACCTTATTGTCCAAAGCGTCTCCATTTTGCACCTCATCCTCACTGACATCCAAGACAGGCTCAGAAACATTCGAAGGGGAAAACACTATAACAGGTTCAGGGTGAAACACAGGCTGAGTCCCAACACTTTGACCCTCCGGGTGTTTTGGACTTCTGCTTCCACCATTCCTCACAGCCTCAGGCCCCTTCCTTTTCCCCCTAAGTCACTTAAGCGGATGAGGGGGGGAAAGAAGGGGCCTGACGTTGTTAGTAACTGTGGGAATTGAAGTCCAAAACTCCTGGAGGGCCAAAGTTTGCCCATGCCTGCCTTATCCAGGCCCCAGTCGTGCAATTTCCTTTGTCTCTCCATCCATCATGCCCTCCCCTCCCCTCCCAGGCACGGACCCTGCGCTGACGGACAAAGGCCTGGCTCTCCGCCTGAGGCAGAACCGGGAGCGGGCCGTGCAGCGCCTGGAGGAGGTGACCTCGCAGTTTGCGCAGCTGCAGGACCGGAGCGAGGAGCAGGAGTGGCGCCGGCGCAGGAAGGGCGGACGGGCCCCGACCCCCACTGATCCGGGTCCCTCTGCCCCCAAGGAGGATGCGCCAAGGGTGGAGACCGGCCCCCAAAAGGTACTGGGGAAGGGGGGACACCTGTGGCTGGCTGAAAGTGCGGGGAAGTTATGTTAAATGACATGTCACGAAGTGTCTTCTCTCCACAGGGCAGCCCGAAGCAGGGCAGCAGAGGATCCCCCAAGGAGGAAGAGGAGGACGAGGAGGAGGAAGAGGAAGAAGAGGAGGAGGAAGAGGAGGATTCCTCCCTTGAGTGGGACATGGAGGAGGACCTGGCAAAGTGTCTCGAGGGCGAAGAAGAGGAGGAGGAGGGACCCCCACCAGGTGCGCTGTGGAGACCTGGAAAGCAGGGGGCTCGCATCCCGGGCGGGGCAGGGCGGGGCAGGGGGGGGGAGGCTCCTGAGGGAGTGGGACAAGGATGAGATTATTGTAATTGGTTCCATCCCTAATTCTGGACTTAGGTCTTAAGGTTTTAAATTCTGTGTGTTATTGTTTATATGTGAATTATATTAATTATACTAGGTTCTTGTAGGTTTTTTCGGGCTCTATGGCCATGTTCTGGAGGCATTTCTCCTGACGTTTCGCCTGCATCTATGGCAAGCATCCTCAGAGGGAGTGAGGTCTCTTGTAACTAGGAAAATGGGTTTATATATCTGTCGAATGAGCGGAGTGGGACAAAGAACTCTTGTCTGCTGGAGCTAGGTGTGAATGTTTCAACTGACCACTTTGATTAGTATTTGATGGCCTGACAGTGCCTGGGGCAATCTTTTGTTGAGAGGTGATTAGATGTGCCTGATTGTTTCCTCTCTGTTGTTTTGCTGTTGTAATTTTAGAGGTTTTTTTTTTAATACTGGTAGCCGGATTTTGTTCATTTTCATGGTTTCCTCCTTTCTGTTGAAATTGTCATCAAATGTTTTGCCCAGATAACCATACCTCTCACGGACCTGTTCAAAACCAAGGGAAAAGGGGATTCAAAAACCAAGAGACCCGTGACAACAGCCTTCTCATTGGTCTCTCTCTCCCCCCCCCCCCCCCCTTGTCCTCATTCACAGATGAGGAGCCCCCGGCCCAGGAGGTGGAGGCCGACCAGCGCATGGATCTGGAGGTGGTGGAGATTGCCTCTTCCTCTGCAGAGGACGAAGAAGAGGACGAGGAAGATGAGGAGGAGGATGAAGAGGAAGAGAGCGATGCCCGCAGCGGCCAAGGAGCCGGAGAGGCGGAGGAGGGCCAGCCGGGGGCCTTGGAGGCGCCCCACACCCCCCAGGTCGGGAAGGCACGCCTGCCGGAGAAGAAGGAAGCCCCTCCGCCATCCCCCATCCACTCACACCGGGTGTCCTCCAAGCGGAAGGAGCTGCAGGAGAACGGGGGCTCCCCCCAGGCGGGGGTCACCAGCATCCCCCAGGCGGGGCTCAACGGGCAGCCTCCGGGGAAGCGGGCCAGGGCCGAGCGGCGGGGGTCCAACAGGTGAGCGCGGGTGGCGTGGATGCAGCCGCGGAGGGGAACGCAAGGGCTATGAGTCCCTTTCTGCAGCTAGGATGGGGGCCATGAATGACCTCTGCCCCTCACCAGTGGGTACCATTGGGGTCAATTCATTCAGCTCTTGTCTCCCCGTCCCACACCCTCCTTCCCAACTGTAGCAGCTGCATCGAAGTCCCCAGCACAGGCTCCTCAGAGGCGGAGGAGGACGGCAATGGCAACGATGCCGAGGTGGTGCTCTTTGGCCCGCTGCCCCCCGCAGCCCCTCCACAGCCGGACTCCACCTGCGCCGACTCCCCTGGGCAAGGCCTGGTCTCCAGCTCCCTGGGCAGCCCTCTGCGGAAACAGACCTCCAAGGCAAGTCAATGGGGAGAGGGGATGTTGGGTGAGTGGGCTTATTAACGAAGACCCTCCTCATAAACGCACAGCAGAGTCATTTAGCAGCAGCAACAGCGTGACCCAGCACCAGTAGCCGAAAGTGAGAAAAAGAACAAAACCACTGGAGCTTCACACATTATTTATTTATTTATGTATTGACTTTGCTTATATACTGCTGTATCTCAAGCCCGAAGGCGACTCACAGCGGTTCACAAACAGTAAAAACAGTAGAAACAGCAGTGGTTCCATACAACATATAACAATTGACTTAACACATTATCCATAAATTACCAATAAGCAATTACAATGCACAATTATTACAAAAAACAACCGTACCCAATCTTCTCAGCATCCAAGCGCAGTCCAGGTTCATCGTCCCTTGTTCCATTCCTATGTTCCATTACCAGATGGCACTAAATTACTCAAACGCCTGCACAAACATCCAGGTCTT